TCGTCTCCTGGTACGACCATGTCGCGAAGAGTTTGAGTAATTTTGGTTGCAAGCCAATGTTGGAATCATCTACAGTATAGTTGTGTCTCTTTAAATTTTGAGTGACACATGGTGTAAATTACTTTCCAATTCGATCGTGTGTGTGAAATTTGTTTCAATGAATGGCATCCTCATGCATGAACCAAGAACTCATAGAAAAATATGAACACCATTATGATCGGTCACATAGAGCTCTCCAGTCTTGGAATTCAAACATAATCCAAATGGACGAACCAATGCAAACGGAATACTCGACTTGGAATTGTTTGAAAACACTGTTTTCGTGAGAGCTAGTACTTGTCGATTGTTGGAAATTAGAGTTTGTTTCAAATCCAACACCACAATAGAATCGTCGTGACACACCAATACATGTTGTGAATAAGGATCGTAGAGAATTCCTTGAGGATTACAAAAATTGGTGTCAAGTGTTGTTAATAATTCTGTTGGTTCAACTTGTTGTGTGGATCTTGATGATAAATTATGTGGTTCTGGAGTGTGTGAATATTTTGTAAATTTTTGAATGACTTTCCAAATATTACATTGTAAAGTTCTTTCACTCACGAATGAATCCATAGGCAAACATGGATTTCTACATTCCAAAATTGTTAAACAATGATTCGATTGTTCCGTCACGAGTAATCGAAACGGTGCAAAATTATACATTTCAAAATTCTCCTCAAAACCATTGTAAAAAACAGCCATTGCAAATGGACTGCTTAATGCATCACGTGATACATAATCCACTCGAATTTTCCCTAATATCTCACCATTACTCGTGCGTAATATTAAAATATAATCGAATTCCATGTCAGTAATCAATAATTGACCTTGTGATTCACATTTGGTTGATTTTCTGCTTGAACGTGCTGGAATTTCCAAATTTCTCTTCATGACACACATGGATCCTGGATATCTAAATCTTGGTGGTTCGGAATACCACTTCAAGAAGGGAATCAATTCCAAATCATCAAATTGTAATTGAGGTTGTTGCTGTTGTTTCGAATATTTCACACAATCTCGCAAACGATATTTCAGAACAAGACCTGATGAATTAGCACAATACAAGGCATCTTCCCATCGATCGTTGGAGATGGTTTTACGTGAATCTTCTTCATTATTTCCATATTCAATTTTTTCAGAATTTACTGTAAAACAAACAACATCCTGTTGTGCTTGAACGGAAAAATTCGACACGTAACGTTTTGTGTCTAAATCAAAGATTTGAATGTGATCCAAAGAACATGTTCCAATGAGAAGACAATTACATTCGTGAGAGATGGCGATATGTGTCGGAGTGGGATCAAACAGTTCCAGATCGTGATTGTTTTGAATGGTTTCTTGTTGGTGGTGTAACGTTGATGGTGTTGCTTCGTGTTCTTCATGATTGTTGAGTGAAAAAGATCGGACATGATGAAATGCATTGGAGAAGGGAATGTATTGATGAGAGGAGAATTGACTACAAGATAATTTACAAGATAACCATTCTCGTATATACAAGGGTTCTGTTTCTTTTGAAAAGTCTTGTAGAAGGATGGTGGTGCATGAGTGTTGTGTGAGGTCTGAATGCGTGAATGACATTTTTTCAACGTGATTGTTGTGAAACGTTGGAGTTTATTGGTTTGAAACATTTCCAAGATTTGACGAGTAAGGATAGAGTTGGGAGTTCATATTGCAATTACAGCTTGGACATTTCCATATTTTCAATGACTGACTTGAGACCTTCCAATTGTTTGGTCACTGCATCGACGTGTGGTTTCATAATGTATTGTTCTGCATAGATTTTCATTTTGGAAACATCTGTCATGTAATTGCTCCACGTATTGTCTGTCATAAAGTCAAGTTTTACCAATAGTTGTGAAACTGCCTTTTCCAAATTTGAAATGTGTGTATCAAAGAGTGCAAATTGACTTTCCTTAATTTTCTTCTTCTTCTTGAGAGAATCATTGGAATATCTGTGAACCTGGTCCAATTGAATCAATTCCATGTTAAATGCACAAAAAGCATACACGTAAGCTCCATAGAGGAACCTTCGAGCTGTTTTCACCGTTGTCAACGCCTCATCAACCCAAAATAAATACTTGTATGGTACATCGGTGTGAACATAAATATCTGCCTTAAATTGTTGTAATTGGTTTTTCATGTAATGATTGGATCGTTCTCGTTCCAGCCATCCATTATGTTCGCCCATCTTTTCTTGATAGTAAATGTAATGCTTGTAGAGTTTTTGTTGAATTTCTCCTGACTTGTCAAGATGTAGAGTGGTGGAAGTAAATTGCACAATCTTTTCCTTACAATTTTCAAAGTTGTGATTATTCCAATTTCCAAAACAAAGCCAACAAAATTCGTGACGACACATAGAGCAAGTCATGTGATTGCAACCACCATTCTTGTTAATTAATCTCTTACACTTTGGACAGGGCTTGGTATTCTTTTGAATAAAATCATAACTGGCGCCTTCGGTCATGGAAGATGATTTCTTTGAGAACTCTTCAAACATTTCACAGGTTGCTGGATAGTGAGGAGCTTTTCCACATTGGAAGCAAAACAAAGTGTCACATGGCACGCATCGTACTTTGTGAAGAGGAATATCGACTGTCTTTTTGATGACACATTTGCATCCAGGAGCATTTGGACATCGCGTCACCAGAAAGTGATCATTCACGTAAGTGTCAACTCTGTTTTCAATATATTTCATTTTGATTCTTTCATCCTCTCGCTTGGCATTAAATGACTTGGCATTCTTGAAGAAGGAAAATATAAAGTCTTGAGTGAGAGCAGTGTTGCATTCCATACAGTTAATTCTTGTCTGACCTAACCCAGCGGTTTCCTTAATTTTAACTTCCAGATATCCTCTCCAACATGGCTCACAAAATTTGTGACCACACACTGGGTTCTTTCTCATGGGAACGTCGTCACAGAAGCATGATGGACAGGTGGGATCGTCATCCTCCTCTTCATAGGATTGAGCGTTCTGTGATGAATCGCTTACCGATGATTCTCCCAGAAAAGTGGTCTTAAATGCTTCATAGGGAACTCCACACTTTTTGCACACAAATTCAACACCATGTTCCCAATAATCGTGGGATAATGATTCAGCTCTCCATCGATATTGCTTCAGCATGGCCAAAATGAACTCGTCTCCATATCCACTCTCTTGCACATGATTTAATTGCAGTAAATCCTTTGCATTTTGAATTTCAGTTTCTTGATCTTTCATAATGTCATATTCGTTCATCAATACTTTGTATGATTTTGCGTCTTGTTTTCGTTTCTTGTATTGTTCCCACAAATGCTCCAATGTTTCTTCTTCTTTAGAAATGTTAATGATATAATTTGGATCCACAGCATTTCTACGTAATTCTGAAGCAATAGTTTGTGATTGAATTTGTTCTTCATCATAAGCAGAGGCATCCACGAGTTCAATCACAATATTATCATTGTCGTCACATGCAAAAACATTTTCTTCGTCTTCGTTGGGATCTTTATAGACCACTTCTTCTTCCTCTTCGACAATGTCTTCTTCATGAATTTCATCATTACTATCCAGTTCATATTCATCACCGACATATTCTTCATCATTTTTCAAATCTCCGCTGCTCATTGTGGTAGTCTCTTCTTTCTCAATATCCTTCTTTTTATTTCCTCCATCATCTTCAATAATCACAAGCTCCTCTTTGGAGGAGTTGTCAAGTTGCGGTTGTTTGTTAGATACTGGATCAGGAGGCTGATCCGAGCTTGTACTTGACGAGGCTTGTGGAATATTGTTGTTATTGCTACTATTATCATCTTTGGTTGTTGGTGTTTCATTGTTGTTTTCAGAAGTTTTAGAGAGCTCATCTTCTTGCATCATGATCAATCGGCCAATGGTCTGACCTTCATCCCGGTCTTCTTGTAAATAGATTTTTAAAATTTCATTCGGGGTTCGTGCAGGGAATAGTTCATGAATAGAGAGAACAGCATTTCGGACCAAGTCCTTCTCCTCTTGCGACCATGAATCAAACTTGGATGATTTCTTTGGTTTTGTGGATGAAGTCTTTCTCGTCATTTTTTTGTTCACGTCTTTGTTGCGAGTTCATGTTAAAAAATGGGCCAATTCTTGAGATTTCAATTTCGGGAATGATATGTTGTGTTAAATTTATTTCATCACCTTTGATCATGACAATAACGATGATAATTTTTTCCTTGCTTCTAGGATATACTCATCGTCACATTCTTCAGCATCCTCACCAGAGTGGGCCTCTTGGAATAATCTTTCAAATTCTAAAAAGTGCACACGAGCTTGCTCTAAATGCTGATGATTAAATAGAGTAATGGCGTAATTCAATTCAAACAAATAATCACTTTCCATTTCAATGGCTTTCTCGTAGGCGGAGCAGGCATTTTCAAAATCCTCTAGTCGATTCAATGTTATACCCAAGTACATGTAAGTGCTGGCAAAATTAGGATTCAAATTGATAGAAGTCGAAAAGTAATGAAAGGCTGATGCGTATTGTTTTGTGTTCAAGTGAACAAGGCCTAAATTGTATGAAATGATCCATTCAAAAGGTGCCAAATACAGAGCTCTCTTCAGGCATGCTATTGAAGTCACATAATCCAATTTGCCAAAGAAGCACATTCCGATATTATTCCAAAGCTGTGCAGAGTTTGGGTTCTTTTTAGCTGCAATTCTATACTTGCTCAATGCCACATCCATTTCTCCATGATCTTGAATGATGGATCCTGTAGCTAGAATGGTTTTTGGGTTCGAAGGATCATGGGAGAGGGAGTTTCCTAAATAATCAAATGCTTTCAAATTATCACCAACTCTCAAATACAACAATCCAACAGTGCTTAATAATTCGGGATTTTCTGGAGAGAAGTCAAGAGCTTCAAGATAGATATCAATAGCTTCTTCGTATCGTTCTTGAATTGTGAAAATTTTACCAAGTTCTATGAATGTAATGTCGTGTCGATGAATGGAGTTGGCTCTCTGATAACAATCTTCAGCCTTTTCAAATTCACCCAAATTGGCATGGCACAAACCCTTATTGTGATAAATTTCCCAGTCTTGAGGTGAGATTTTTTTGGCTTCATCATAAATTTCAATGGCCTCTTTGAATTTACCCAACAAGTACAAGCTCTTTCCGACTTGTTTTATATTTTGTGGGTTCATTGGATTTAGAATACATGCTTGTTGAAATAATTGAAGTGATTGAGTGATATCACCTTGCTGCCGTTTGATCAAACCTTTAACGTATAAGGCAAATTCACAACGTCCTTCGCTCGATTTAATTTGCTCCTCAATTACTTGTAAACACTCATCAATATCTTGCCGAGTATACAACACATGAATGAGCCAATTTTTTCTCTCCTTCTCAGCCTCCATATCGGACACTTGTCGTTTAATTTCAACTTTTGTTTGTTGTTGTTGCAACAAGTGTTCCCTAATATCCCGAGCTAATTCATCATGAAAGTCTGAAGCAGTTCCCTCAGAGTTTGTGATTCCTCCTGCAGCAGCACTGCTACTCGTTGTGTTAGCAACAGCGGAAGGTGGCGACGATGTTTGCATTTGGGTGTATTATTTTTTTGCGTCATTGTATTTAATTTTGGCGGGCTGAGGATAGATCTTAACTCTCCAAACCCAAAACCTTACGCCTTTATTTAAATCAACAATTTGAACAAAACAAACAAATCGAACAAAGTGCTGATCTTGCAAGCAAACACTCAAAGAGTGAAAGCCAGGGGAAAGGACCCAACGCACACAAGGTGGGGAAGACCCAACACACAAGGTGCTCAAAAACTAATTCTATGAGTAGTAAGGAATCGAAGAAGAATATTTCTGGCTCCATTGATATCTCTGTCAAAAATTGAGCCACATGATGGACAACGAAACACTTCAGATGATCCAACCGTATAAACATGTCCACAACATGAGCAAGTTTTGGATGTGTACGCTTCGTTGACAATATAAATGTGTGTCCACGGATGCTCTCTAGCTTTGTGAAGCAATCTTTGCTTGAATCTGTAATGTGACCAAGTCAACATTTTTCTTGCTGTCTTGCTATTAATTCTCTTATGGAGTTTCTTTACCATTTTCTGAGTCTCAAACGAAGGAAGTAAGATCACTTGGTAGTTTCGACACAGCCACAAACACAGTTTCTTGTGTAAATCATCCACAATATTTCTAATCTTTTGTTGAATTCTTCTTCCTGCTCTCTTGTACTTGTATCTTTTGCAATGTCTGACTTCTGGTTGAGACCACTTCGATTGTAACTTGTCATACGCGCAACACAATCTACCAATTCTTTCGGCACCTCCTGAGCCCCATTTGGTTGAATAACCATTCAAATCAAAGGTGGTCTGAAATGTTCTTACTCCTGGATCCAATGCTACAACTTGTCCTGAATGTTGAGGGGCTTGGTTCTCACCCCTAATATCCAGTACTTGCGGAATACATAAATAATAATGGTTCAACTTGTTCTTAATAATGATGGAATCATACTGAAGCTCCTCAGGCAAAGGTTCGGCGCTCTTGATGTTCCTTATAAAAGAATACATTCCACTCTTTTTCTTCCAGTGCTTGCAATGTAGAACGAAATGATCTTTTCTATCTTTCTTTCGCCTGAAACGGATCATGAACTTGTCAATCGTTCCAGCCTTCTTCTTTTCAAAATTAGTGTTGAACGCAGTCAACAATTCAATAGCGGCAGCATCTCTTACGTCATAAGGAGTATTTACAACCCACTGATTTTCTGTCTGATAATTATCGTTGTTCACCACAAACGTTCTGAAATTCTTCTTATTTTTCTTGACACCTTTGGATTTGTTGGTGAATTCTAAACACTTGTTGTAGATCCAACGAGCAGTTCCCATCCACTGATTCAATGTTGTCCTTTCTTGTTCATTGGGGTAGAGTCGGATTTTCAAGGATTTGTCTGCTTGAAATTTTTGGGCCACCTTTTGATTCTTTTTTGCTTTCTTGAGCTGAGGTGGCTTTTTAGAGTTATCAAAAGCCACATTCTCTGTTATAGAGTGATGAACATTGAGTGGAACATCAAACACTGGCTGGGATTCAATCACAGTGAATTGAGAAAAGTTGAACCATCCGTCAGTGCATCCCTTGTTGTTGTATTGATTAAACTCATGAAAGGATTGCCGTGTGCAAGAGATGGATTAGTAGGAGGATGAGTAGGTTCATCCTCTCTACTTCTCTTCATTCGTTGAGATTAAGGTTGTTGCTGAGTTTTTTTTTTTGATAACCTCAACAAGAGTTGAAACTCTATCAGTATTGAAGGACTCATTCAATTGAAACTCTATCAATTTGAATAACTTGATTCATTCTTTTCGTCCGAACTGATCATGGAAAAGTGAACGCCTTGATAAAATTCCTTATCCACCTCCAAAACAACACTTTTGATTCAAAGAATGAATAAATGGTTCGTCAGGAACTGACTGTTGATGATTGTATTGACTTGTTGAGTTTGTAATAAATTGTGGCTTTTGCTCTTTTATTTTAGTGCTGAGTAATTTAAAACCGATTATAAAAACAAAACCTCCAAAACAAACAAGGTTATTAATAAACCTTGCGTCATCAGGACTGTGTTTTACTGATGGTTTTTGAAAGAAATTGCTGTAATTGTTCTTTTGGCTTCAACGGTTGGTTGAATAAGTAACACAAAAACTTTCCGAGTATTGTTAAAAGAAGGATATTTACATCAGGGTTCTTCCCATCCTATGATAGCCTTAAAAAATCAAGGTTACCCGAATCGACAACCTCTTTTCACCCATACCTGATACTGAGGATATGGACACAGCAAAGACACATTCGTATTGGTGAGTGGGAACTATGGATCATTTTGGCCAAACAACAGTCCGAACTGGAATGATGCACACACTCAACGAATTCAAGCTTGAAAAAATTCACAAACTTCCCTAAGGCCTTTTTTCTTTCAAGATCATCCATCCAACGAAAATGTGGTCTTTATTCAAAAAGCAGAAAAAGAATAATCATGATGATGATGAAGATGGTCGAGTCCACAAAGCAATTTTACTGTCCTCAATTTTTACTCATTCCGATATCTTTCATTACATTGTGATGAGTGGTTATTTACGATTGGAAGATATTTTGAATCTTCGGATGGTATGCAAGATGTGGAATGATCATGTTGAGAGTGGATGGAGTGCTTTTCAGTATCATGTGCTCGTTCAATTATTTCAATTGAGAGTTCCTGATTTAGCACTTCAGCATGCACAACATGAACCATCTGCCAAATCAACCACTATGTTGTTCTTTTCCATGGTCAAAGCATGTCGTGGAATACGTACTGGTTTGGAACATCCTTCATTTAGCTCATTTCGTGAGACCACTGTTTTTGGTGTGCCATTAAAGCCAAAAGAGAAGGAGCAAATAATGCAAGACATGCAAGATATGAATCAACATGATGAGGAAGATCTTGCAAGTCAATTTCTTTCCTTCAAGTTTTATCAATCATTGCCACATATAACACCACCTGTCAAGAAGGATTATGTCTTGGAATTTATTCCCAAGTTTTTGAATGGCAAACGAAATTATTGGGTTAACTTGAATCATGACCAATGGTTCGGTCAACATAGAGTTGAGCACAACAATATCATAGTCAAGTCATTACTGTGGTCACAGAGAATTTTCAATTATTCCTATGACGAGTTTAATTTTGATATGGTGTTGCATCTAGAAGGTGACATGTTTAAAACAAAGAAAATGATTGAAAAGCTATTTCTTGTCAAAACAGTGCAAAATTCGATTGTAAAAGAGGGACCAATTAGATTAGATCCAGCACTTTTTCACACAAAATTTGGTTACGTTTTGACGGACAGTTGCTTTCAAGCAGAAAGAAGTCATACCATCTGTAAACAAGTTACGACTTTTAGCAAATTTACCTTGAAATATATTGAAGCTGCATTTTTGAACCATTTCGGCGAAGAAGTAGACCTATTGGTGAAAGACTCAGTTGTTCCTCAAGGACTTGATACCTTTTTCAATCAAGAATTGGAACGAACCTTGTTCCAGCTTTGGTCTACTGGCTTATTGAATGTGAAATTTATTAGAAATTTCGTTTTTCGATTGTTGGTGGCACTTTCACATAGGCGACATGATTGGTACTCACTTTCATTCCATGATTCTATTCAGGAAAGCTGTCCCAATACTCAGGCCACGAACGGTGTTATGGAATGGTTCAATGAATATGCTCGAACAAGAACACAAGAATATCCAGAAATTATACACACCTTTGTCAAAGATCATGAAATCTTTCAAGGATTTCATGAAGGAGAGCAAATTCAATCCTACTTGCTAGCGTTAATGTTAAAACCTAATGTTGAAACTCAAACGTGTCAATTCCAAGTGTTGAAATATTTATTCTATGAATTTTCACTCGATGGAGAAATATTGAGTTAGAGACGATTCGAAAGTCATGCAGTATGAAATTAGCTAAAAATCTAAACCAAGTTCTCACTTAGTTCACTAAACATTTCAAAAAAATGATTTCACAGGAGGACGTAGCTGCCAAGAATGACCATCACCATGAGCAAGAGGAGAGAACCATCAAGTCCTTCAAAACGTCTTCGTCCTCTCAGCGTCATCATCATGTCATACAACCCAAAGATATTCTCATATTTTTACTCATCGTGTTATTCATTTCATTTTCTCAATATGGACTAGGTCATTATATAGTTCGTCGGAATGAATTTACATTAATGGAATATACAGCTGCTTGTTTTGTGAGTGTATCCGCGTTGATTGGAGGATTTCAATTTTATTTTAAAGTGAGTACTCACTGATGTGAAATTCTTCAATGTTTTTCAATATTTTGGCGGATATATTCATGATTATTGAAATGAAAATAATGATAACAACAATTGTTTAATTTTATAATTTTCAAACCCTCATGAAATTGTAACCGTTCATTTGAATTATTGTTTAATTTTTTATGTGATTCACCTGGACCAATCATCATGGTGTCAATTAATTCGAATGAAGGCCCAACAATTAGCACTTTCAACGTTTAACAAATCAGAATATTTCAATGTTGATTGTTTTATTGATCGTTACATTCCCTTCGTGCCTCATTCCATTTATTTATACTCATTTGGAGATTTGTTTATTATGGCATGCATTATTCCAACTTCTCCCACGATGAATCATCTCATACATATATTATTTGGATTGATTATTGTCACGTTGTGTCAATGCTTAATTTTTGTGACACTTCCTTCCAATGTTCCAGCTCATTATCGAACGGAATTGCAAAAGTATGAAGCAAAGTTTGGAAAATTGGATAAAACTACAAAATATCTTTTCGAAATGATGCATCAAATGGATCATGACACAAACACTGTGCCATCTGGCCATTGCAGTATTGCCACTTATCTAGCGTTAACACAGTGGCATATTTTTGGATATTTTACCTTATTGAATCCATTGCTGATTGCATGCAGTTGTGTCATGACCAAACAACACGCATTCCTAGATACTGTGTTGGGAATTTTGTTTGGATTTGTGATCTTTTTTATCGTGAATGTACAAATGTTTGGAGCGACAATGTAGAACTAGTGAATTAAAACAAATTTTTCATTGACGCGTTCACATTTATTATTAATTATATATTATTAATAATATTATATATTGAATAATACATGTACAGTTTTAAACACACATTTCAATACAATTAAATATTGTATAAATAAATATTGTTGTTATTATTGATGTCTGCAAGGAGAACGATTTGTGGAAGGAGAGGATGAACTGCTAGTGGGTGGTTGCTCACTAGAGGTGTTTTGAGGGTTGTTTGACGAAAAATTATTGTGGAATCTGATACCACATAAAAACCCTAAACGGAATCCTTCAACAATGAAATTCAAATCTCGTTGTTCTCGTATTTCTGCTTGTATCTTTTCGAATATGTGATAAATGTCATGTTCGGACTTGCAAATTTGCTTAAGAACTCCAAGGTAATCATTAAGAGTTTCAGTATCGCAATGAGAGGTCATTGGATTGAATGAAGTGTTGACATTTCCATTTTGGTCCAAAACTGCATTAAAACCTATTGGTGGTTGTGGTGCATTGTTATTCACTTGAATGATGTGAACATTAGGAATAGAATTGGTATTCTGAGCTGACACACCAGAGGTGTTTACTCCAGAGCTAGAACCGTATTGAAGTGGTGGTGGTGGTTGAACGTTTACAGTGATACTATTGGTGGTGTTCGAAGGAGGAGGAGGTGTGACATGATTAGTAGCACTTGTTGTTGTCATTGTATTAATAGGATGGCCATTCACATGGACGGAACTCAGCAAGTCCTTCAAATATGAAACTTGTTGCTGACCTAGCAAAGGAAAAAAGTCATTATAATTGTCAAAAATTGAATCATTTGGTTGCTGAGTGGAATGTGGTGTGTTGTGTAAATTTGTTGTTGTCGAAGGATGGTGACCTGGAGAGGAAGTGGAAGAGGAGGAATGACTACTGGTTGTGGATATTTGCTCTGATTTGATTGGAAATTTTGGAGACAATCTTGCCTTTTCAACAATTTCATCATCTCCTGCCATGTCTGCAGAATTTTCTTCGTGAGCGCTCAGATTGGCACTGGAATTCGAAGGTGCAACATTTTGATTTCCCTTCTTGAACTGTGATCGATATTTCTGCAAATGAGATTTGATATGTGTCGTTGTGACATTGTCCACATTCATCAATTGCAGAATTTCTTTGGGACGAGCTTCATACAGTCCTAATTTCTCAACAGCTTTCACAAATAGATCATGTAACGATGGTGTCCACACCAATCGCTTTGGTCTCAGAGAGGTTGCGCCCACCATTGAGATAATTTCAACGAACGCAATTTTTGGACAATTCGTCTGACAACGACAATACCAAATGATCATCTACGAAATTTAGTTTATGGAGGGAAGAATAGACTCACGCTCATTTTCTAAGGTGAAGCGTTGTGAGGCAGTGGTTCAAATAATGTTCCACCGTTCAGCACCTGTTTTCTGAGTTGATGTTGCGCCATACAACACGGCGTTGAAAGAGATTGAGATGAAGTTGTCGAACAGGATGTCAGAGCTTGCTGAATGAACTTGAGAGACGATTTATGTTGAGGAAAAACACTTGCAGTACAGGAAAACATTTTCATTTGGTTCAACAGGGGAGTGAAACTTGCCAGCTTTTCTTCATAGTGACATGTACTTTTGTTCAATTGTTACAAAAACGGTGAGAAGAACAAGAGAATGGTGCTCAACACTGTTGTTGGCTGATGTAATCGAATTTGAGTGATTTGGGAATGACGGTAACAGCAAAAGTCAAGCTGAAGCAATCAGAAGGGTACAATTAAGGGAACTGGAATCACTTTTTGTTTCGTAGTCATACTTCTTAACGGCTGAGTCTATCATCGTGAATGAAAGGAACATATCATCTTTTGTGCCTCCTAACTCCTTTCATACGAAGGTCCAAGCTAACATACGTAAGGAAAGTAGATGCATGAGATTAAATCATGCCTTTTTTTTTGTTTGATAGATTCGTTATTGACCTTTTTATATGAACACGAAGTAGAATGGTTAGGTTCACAAACTAGTACCTCCATTTCAATCAACATCCATTTCGCACCTTACACTCAAGTGTCAAATACAAATAGCACCTTACACTCAAGTGTCAAATACAAATCACACTTCATTCATTTGGCACTCAAGTGTCAAATGAAAACAGCACTGACACTAAGTGTAAGGTGTAAGGTGCCAAAATATAACAACTCTGGTTGTATGGATTTGAGAATTGTCTTTCTTGTTCTTCTTGTTCTTCATGTCGCCAGTGACAGCTCCACTTTTTCTTTTTTTTGGATTTGTTTCCGAGGTTGTCTCGATTTGGAAGTTTTGCATTCCATTACTGGATTCATCAAAAGAATGAAATGGTTGAGGATGAGAATCCATTATGGGAGCTGTGCTGTGTATGTAGTTGTTGTTATGATTGTAATATTGATTGTGAGGATGATTATTATTATGGTTTGGAAAGGCGTCCATCATGGCAGAATATACACTCATCATCATGTTGTGACTGTTTACGTTTGTACTGTTTTGATGATTGTGTGTTGGTTGTGGATCAATGTGTGAACTGTTTGGAGCCACAGAGGATGGTTGCTGGCGATAGGGTTGTTGTTGTTGTTGTGGAGGTGAGGATGGAAGTGGTGGCGATGTTCTCATGGGATGCAACAGTAAAGTCTCAAGGCTTTGGGGTTCAATTATTGCTTGTTGAGTCGATTCAATGTTGTTTTTTTCAAGTTGGAAGATCTGATATTTGAAGAATGTGTACACAAGTACAATACAATTTGTTGAGAATCAACCAGAAGTAGTTACAATCTTGTTTCTAAAAAGAACAAGTGTTCAAATAAAAGAAAGAAATCCTGTTTCCCAATTATTTCGTCATTTTTGCCAAAAAAAGTCAATAGGATAAGAGTACAAGTACATGATGAACATCAAATGGTTCATTTGGTCGATGAAACATCATGATCGTCAGGATGTATTCACTTGAACGTCAACTTACTTGTGCAAATTTGACAACAACAACACTGTGTGGTTGAATGGACAGGTGGTCGTATAATTGTTGAGACTTTTTTTCAAGAGATTCTATTTTGTGTTAGCTCCTTTTTCGATTTCATTCAACCACCAGTGAATATTCTCTTGTTGGTGCTGCTATGGATTGGAGATTCTCTCGGCATGGACGTTTTGTTCATTTTTGGTATTTGTAGTTGCCTTCTTTCCGCTCCCGAATGTTCTACCGAGCACAAAATCCATCGCAAAAACGCAAGTGCTAAAACTTGAGGTTTTGTTTGGATGTTTTTTGCTCGAGCGGTACCATTTACTTTTGGGTGAACCAAGGGAATATTCATTGCGCGCACACGGAACAGATGCATGGAAAAGTGGAAAGTTGATATCGTCAAACCGTGCGCGAGAATTCTCCAACAACAGCCACAGCCATATACAACCATGATCAAGGTGTTGTTGTTGGTTTTGAGCGTTTAGGGAGCTAAATTATTCCTCGGATGAATGGGAAGCTACAATCCATGATGTGAAATTTGGAATGGTACTATTGATACAACACAACGTTTCATACAATCAAGGGTTCTTCTTCTTTTGCTGCTCGGTCGTTTGAAAACTATCACACAAGGCATTGGCCTCATGGAATATTTCCCTCAATAAACGCTGTTGAATCGCATCGACGGAATATTCTTTGAGTAGGAAACCTTTGAGACGAAACCGTTGATCCAAGACCTTATCTAAGATATTGCCATGAATGATACGAAGAAGTACTTCCTCGACAGTGCTTTGTTTGAAAGCATTGGAGGGTAAATATTCTTCATGATACTTGTCAAAGGGCACTTCATCTGAAGATATTTGATATTGGAATGAGTATGGAGGACCAATATACTGTTGTACATATGGATGTTGACTTTTCAATTTAAACCATCCATTTAGGTTGTTTAACACTCGCTCTTGGTCATAGACTGGATTTAAAAAGATGGCCCCACTATGTTTTACGGTATGAATACAGAATTATTCACCACATTGTATGTGATTGGCAATCGAATAATTATAAAAAACCAAAACAGTTGTTGACGAGATGAGTGGTTGACAATAATAGCAGTCCAATCATACAAAGTACTGATAACTTACCAAGAGATTGCATCCATGGCAGTAGGTCCCACCACTGGATCTCCAATTCCAATCACAAAATGAACACTCCTTAATAGACTTCTCCATTCCTCAATTCCCTTTATACCATGATTGACGATGAACGGTAGAATGGGTTGCTCCATACGTTTAAGGGTCGTATGAATGACAATATTTGGAGAAAATGTTGCATGTAAACGGGACAGCAGATCTTTCACTGATTGTGTAAAGTATCTTGGCTCCTTGCCCCAAACTAAAAATTCAATCTTTTCATGTTGTGAAGAGGGTTGGGTATCAGTAAAAAGGTCCAACTCGTCTTGAACTTGAGAAAGAACGTCGAGAAACTTGGATTCCTTCTCCGATGAATATTCAGATTTAATGTCTTCCAATAATGTGGAGAGTTGTCGTAAAATCTTGGGATCAATATTTCTAATTTTCTCTCTAAGCATTGCATCAATAGATGACTCTCGTCCATCGAATAAATCTCTGTTCTCATTCTTATCAAATTGTTGAATAGGAGCTGATATAGATTCTTCAAAGCATGGAGTTTGATGATAGCCAATAAATTGATTATAATTATTTGGATATGGAGTTAGGTATTGCTTCAAATTCAATTTGTGATGATTTTGTGTTGGAGGAGTTCCCCAAAAATCAATTAATCGATATCTACATTTGTGATCTCGGAAATGCAGACAAAATCGATCCGTATTACATCTTGACGGATTGTTTCTCATAGCAAGTGCACGATCAAAAGAATACATTTCCACAAATATTAAATGAAATACAGAATTTTCATCAATACCTGCTGATTTTTGTTGCTCATTAGAACATTTTGCAATCTTTTCACTCACAACTTTGAAACTTTGTTGGAAACTAGCCTCACTCCAATCCAAGCTCAAATGACACAACGGAGATTTTTCCTCACCCACTCCAAAATTATTGGCAATGCCTTGCAGACCATTCAGAACTCCATAAAACAATACAAGTTCACCTGCTGGTCCTCCAGATTTGGCATTTCCAGCTGTTGTGTTTAGATGGTCATTAAATACTGAAACCACTTTTCCTCCATTTGCAATACATTTACAAAAGTTGTCTTGTTGCTGTTTTGTGTTATTAGGAGTGTTTGGTCTCTTGGAATTGTCCATGCCTCGATTGTTGTCATTAATGTTATTACTGGACTTGGAATCCTTTTGAGAAATAGGTGGCTTTGTTGGGATTTTTCCATTGTTTTGAATGAGTGTATGTGCTTTCTGGTGATGTATTTCTGGAACATGATAACTTTCATCTCCACTGATAAAATCCAAATCATTTGTATTATCGTAATTCTTCCGATTGGTGTTGTTGTTTGATTTCGTGGTAGTGGTCATATTTCCTAACAAAATCCAAACCACTATAGAAACACATAACAATCCAATGAAGTACTTTTGGATGTATGATCGGAAAAACGGCAATGATGATGACTGATTGCTGTTGTTGTGTATGGGTGGTGGTGAACCAATGTTGCGAATCATCATCGTGTGTGCAAGATGGTTGTAAATCAAATGAATTATTTTTTAAAAAGAAAAAAAGCAAAACAGCCTTCAGAAGGAGACACTCTTTATTCTCATCATCACAAGAAGAGCCTCTTTTCCTTCAAAGAAATTGCGGAAGTGAAAAGAAATCAAAGAGTACCGAATATTAGCTCCAAATTTTTCTCTCAATTTTAGTTGAATTTCGTCATTATGTTTGCGTTCGGTCCAGACAATGAAGATTCCTTCTATAATCTTTATGAAAAGATTAGTAGTATTGGTCTCATGGACCCTACCAAGGAGAGTACAACCAAACTACAACAATTAATCAACAATCATAAATCAAGCCTATTGAGTTTGAAATTTAGCGTATGTATTTTGAATGGTATCGTATTGGATTTTAAAGGATTGAATAATTCATGTATGAATATTTATTTCATAATTGAACAACAACAACTAATAGGAAAGGAATGCGGACGCAAGAAGTAAAATCGAAAATAACAACGTGGAAGTGAAAGGAGTTCGGTCTAATCTTCCTCAATCTCTAAAGCTTTTAGTTTGCCAAGTTTCGGATGCACTCGATCTGAACGAGATGATTGCTCTAAGTTTAATTTTCACTGCTACCAAGCACAACCCAGTAAGTTCTTGAATTGTTTCACTCATATTGAAGTGTCATCTTTTACCACTACATCATACACATTTTCCAATATATCTAGCCAACGACATATGGTGCTGAAGAATATCATGCTTCTATCAAACTCTTTTACGAGGAATATTTAAAGCTTTTATTATCGGTTGTTTGTTTATTTCAAGCCCGATATAATGAAGAGTTGAATCCACACATCAGAGAGGTTGTAACAAAATCGACAACTGAATTACTCAAAGAGGGACTTGTTAAATCTATTTGCTCCAGAATCAATGAATTAACAAAACAAATCAATGAATCTCAAAATACCATCAACACCTATAGGTCAGCAGGAAATGGAGATTCTAACGAAGTTACTCATTCAATTGAGCAAATTAATTTTAGGGTTCTTATCAGGAGAAGTTTGGGAGACTGTTTATTCTTCTCTTGCTTCAATTTACAATGTGATGAGGAAACTTTTGACAGTGTTTTCAATTGTTTTAAACATTCACTCAACACATTCAATGCATCAATTGAACAGCTCATTGCAGATCAAAATGAAGAACTAACCTACGATGCATTGATGTTAATAGATGCTCTTCCTATGGGATCCAAATCCATTTTCAACATGTTATACATGGAAACATCAACAATTCTTTGCCTTTTAGAGCCAATAGAAGGAAAAGAAAAATTTGATCCTAAACTTGAAAAACTCGTTACTACAAACACTCTCTACAAGCCACAATTTATTCAGAAATTCGACAAATCCTTGAGGGATTTAACAGAAAGCATGGATAACCCGAATCTTGTAGACAAACCTCAATTTGAAGCTGTTATTGGATTAATGTGGAGCTTGGGATTGCAAGCAACGAAGAAGGATGACTTTGTAGGATACTCAAACAATGCCTTTGACTTGAGCTTGTCTCGAAAAGTCTTTGAATTCATCTCTAAAGGCTGGCTTAACAGCAAAACGTTTAGAAACGATTCTGAGCAAACAAAAGAGTTCATTGTCTACGTGTTGAGTGAACTTGTGTGTGGTATTTTGACCAAACAATCCAATATCATTGCAGAGCTGTTGACTGATCAAAGCGAGAAGATGAAAACCTTTTTAAACAGAAGAAGAGATGGGTTACCGCTTGAGGAGAACGAAGATGAAGAGACAATTTCTGAACACGTGAATAGCTTACTGTTATTGATTAGTGAGCTTTATATGCATTATCCTGAATACTCACATCGATTCTTCGAACAGAGAGAGCTACGAGCGGTCATCGCAAATACTTTTTGCGAGCACATAACTTCACTGTGCAAACTACAGGAAGAGATTGATCTTGGGTTTATTTATTACATTGGAATTTTGTGTTCCTTTAGTGGAGACACTGTTGGAGCCGTGAACGTATTCAGAATGTTGTGTGATTCTCCATATCCACTATTCAGTTGGAGCTACTTCTTCCAAACACTTATTCCACAATTTCAGCAATACAACGGAATGAGTAAGGAAGATGTTGCTTTTGACGAAAAAACTTTGGACTCTATCTATGTTGTACTGAAACTAGTCGAAAAAATTTGTCATAACTCTGAAGAAAGCAGAATGGCATTTTTAGAGAATGGCTGGGATATTTTGGGACTTCTGTTTGGGTTGATGTTTGTGCCAAAGCTGTCTCCAGTTCTTATGGGCCAGGTATTCTCCACACTTGCTTCTTTTGTGAAACCATCAAGCGGACCACCTAGCAAAGAAGCTCAAGTTATTCTTGCCCAGATGGAAAGATTCCAAATTCTCAAGTATGAAATAAGGAATGACAAATACGAAATTTCTAACTCAGGAGGTGTCAAGTATCAACTCAATTTTAGAGAATCTCAAGAAGGGGAATATTTTGAAACATTGGGATTTTTAGAATTAATTTATTCTCTAATTTCCTGTACCAATTATCCTATCAATGGATTCGCTCCCTATCTCAAATTCATCCAAGAAGACGTTTTTAATAACTTTTCCAAGAGATACTACAAAGAGGACAGCGAAAAATGGCTAATCGCTAAATCATGCTTGCAAATATTCACAAAACTCCTTTCTAGATATTCTCCTTCTGTGAGTGATTTTGGTGACACGAAGCCTGGCGCTCAACAAGCGATGGAGGATGAAAACGCACCTAAAATTCCTACTGTGCTCCAAGCTCCACCAGGATTCCAAATTATGAATGACATGCTGAGCAATACTATTTTCAGAAAAGAACTTTTTAACGTTATTGGTGTTAATCTAGAAGAAGAAAGAAGCACAAACAGAGAAGGAGAAGCAATGGAAAAATCTGTTATATATGCTCTTCAAATGATTGAAACTACACTGCTGAAAGAGGAGGCATTCATTCAATCATTATCTCAGACTCAAAGAGATGTTCCAGCAGTAATCAAGAGATTAGAATATCAAATGCCAAATACTTTAATAATCAAATTAGTCGACCTCTTAGATTATTCTTTCAACAACGAGGTTAGATATCGAGTTGTAAACATTCTTTGTTTAGTCAGCAAGAATATTACCAATTTGGTAGGATTGTTCAAAGAAAGAAAGAGAGACAAAAAGCTTGTTAACCTCTTTGTAAAACATCTGTATGCGGTTACATTCGAAAGTAACAGAGAGCGATCAGACATTGATGATTCCCAAGTTGATGACAATCAAAGAGACAATGAAACTAGACTCAAAATGTTGGATCTGTTAAAATCTAATGTTGATGCTCCAGGAGAAAATATCACACACATGCTTTGTGGCTTTGACATTGCAAGTGACGAACCAAGAGAGATCGATATTTTCAATGAGAAGACATGTTTAACAATTATTCTCCATTTACTAAGATCAAAGAGATTACCAAAGACTCATCCTAGATTTATAGAATCCTGCTACGAACTCATCTACAAACTTTGTGCTGATAGAAGAGTGAGTCAGCAAACATTTGCCTGTTTAGAAAAATCAAGCTTCTTAAATGACAAATTGATGAATGATAACTTTGCTACAAAAATTGCTCCATCTCCAGTAGCACATCATATTCTGAATCAACGCGCGTTTGTGATTAGAATTGTGGCTCTTAAGTTATATTCCAATACAAAAGCATTTAAAAAGGGAGATAGCAACAGAGGTGGTGTGCAAGAGCTCGTTCATATTTTATTTGGAGGAGATTCACTTGGAGTTGCTAACAATATCTTCAGTCGCTCCATGCTTTTTGAGCAAAGAAGAGCACTAATGTTGGAAGTGTTAGATACTATTGATTTGAACTTGGTCACTCCAAATACTCCATACGATATTGCATCCGTAGAATGGAAACAATTTTTAAAGAATTGGTCTTCGAAGTTTAATGCTTTTTCTGGATGGAAGCAAGTCGTTGATATCACACTGTCTCAATGCTTTGGAATGATACCCGATGATGAGATACGATTGAGAATTTTACATGATTTGATGAATTCTCTACTTTTTAAGCTGTCCCAGATGAAGTCAAACAACAATAAGAAAGGCAAAGAGCAACAAAAATTAGACTTACTTGTGTCTCAATTAATTTTGAGGATCATGTCCAAATTGAGAGAGGAATTAATAACCAGTGGAGAAACTCTAATGCTTCCTGTTGATCAATGCCTCACCATTTTCAGAAATCTTTTAGAATGCACTCTTTATGCTGAGCAGAGCGAACAAGCTGTTCGAGGAAATTTATATTCAGCACTGATAAATTATCTTCAATACACAAAGAAGAATGAACTCAATGCTGGAAGCAGTCAAATACAAGACCTGCAAAAGAATAATGAGCACGTATTGGATCGTTATGATATTTCCCTATTACCAATGGTTTGTAAGGATGCCCTAGACGCCAAGAATATCTGGAAAACAGTTTCCTTCTCACTTCTCGAAACTCTCTTTTTATACACGACCAACATTGCACAAAGAGGAAAATGGATTAACTTTTTCGAACAGTTTGGCTACTTGAAACAAATTTTGGATAGCGTAATGACAGAAGCAAAACATTCTCTTTCCAAAGTGTTACACCCTACTTTTCATGAAAGTGACGCCTCTTCTCTGAACCGATTGTTTATCTATGAGAATGCCATGTCTTTTCTTTTAAAGTTTGCAGATATTGATCCAAAGAGTTGTGAAATCATGGTGACTTATGAATTACTACCAAAACTATCTGCCCATTTTTCATTCATTGACCTCAGACCATCCATAATTTCCCATCAATACGGAAGAAAAGTCGACCATGAAGACACCATGCTTGATGACGGAGATTGGGAGCCTTCTATCACAGAAAAGTATAATCAATTAGCCATTCCTGCTCTCAAATTAATCATTTCTATTCAATCAAATCTCCGAAACAACAAGAAGGTGGCAGAACAAGTTTTGTCATTTATTGAACAACACAGAAAAGCCATTTCCTCAATTATCAAGCTAGAGAATGTACAAAAAAATTTGGTCTATGTTGAACCTGGCTCCTTGGAATTAGTGAGATTGGTTTGTCAGATGTTTTACTTGTTGGCTCTTCACCCAGACATTATTACAAAGAAGCTTTATTCCAACAAGTTTGAGAGACTACTCTTGAATGCCTTATTGAAACTTTCAACTATTCAACAATTAGGAAAGCCTCAAATTAATATTTTGGATGCTAATTTATCGCAAACTGATGGAATCAATTCCAATACTGAACTGCAGATGGAATATGAACTTGAACAGAAAAAGATGGCTGTTGACGAAATTTGTAAGATCATCATTAATTATTGTAGAGTAGTGACGGAATATCCCTCATTCCTTTCAGAATCAAGCATGAGTTTAATTGGCAGAGTTTTGTTCACTCACTATTTATCTACCAATAGCGCTTCAGCAGCAGTATCCACCATGACCGATGATGAAGACTTGGTTGTACAAGGTCGATCTTCAAGCAAATCTACAACGGAGTCCACAGACCAAAGACCATCTCTCTTCACTCTGTGCTTGTTGTTGCAAAATGGTTTGACCAGATTGAACAATGCATTGGAAGAACGATTTGCATGTGAGTCCAATATCCAGCAATTGGACCAACTTAAAATTGAGCAATTGAACAATATGGTCCGCTCTGCCAATTTAATATTGGGTGAAGAACATTTCATGAGCTTCTTTGAAAAGCAAGATTCTGTGCCAAACGAAGCTAAACTCTTATGCAGAACTATTCTCACTAGAAAGTTGTTGAAACTTGACTCTTATCTGAACACTCATATTAATTTATTGGAAAACACACTTACCGTGTTATTTAGACATATTAATTTATATTTACAATCGAGTAGCGATGACAGAAGTAACAAATTAGGACAAATAACCTTAACCACAGAACAACGAACACAATTATTACAAGAAGCTACCACTGGGGCTCTCAACAAACTTCTCGATGAAATTCTTCAACTCAAAATGCCCAAGATTTTACTGAAGCAACAAATGTCCTATGTGGACAATAATTTCTGTTTGAATATGGCTCAACGTATTAAGAATTTAATCTTCCAAGTGACCTCTGAATAAAGAAGTTTTCGTTTTGATTTATTTTCTTTTTACCAATGTTTCGATGATGACATTAATTCAGCCAGAAATAGTGTGGTGAACTTTAAAAAAATGCTTGTTCCTTCTTCACGAGATTTGATTGTTTTAAAAGTGTACAATGAAGAGACGATTCGACGATTTTACTTTTCATGCGGACAACCTGCTTCATCATCAATAACATCAACGAGGACACCACTGCTCGACGCTTTAATTGCAAAAATTAGACATGTCTTTGGGATCAACACGGTTCCGATGTCGGAGCAAAATTCAAACAGTTTTTCATTAATTTATAAAAATTCAATTCCAAAAACAATCATTCCGAATAATCATGGATGGGATATGAATGGACAACTATTACATGTAAATTCTGATGAAATACTAGTTCAGTTAATTAAAAATAGTTTAGAAACAAATTCGGATTTGCGATTAATTATTGATCATAATTATGCTGCCATGGGGTATAGCAACAATGCCTCGACTCCAACCTCTTCCAATACTACCGCTAGTACCAAACCTGTCATTCCTAAACCATTACCAACAATCCCTGTTGTCACAAACAATAACAGTACCACTGCTGTAGTGGACGCATCCACGAAAATAACATCTAACCAAACAACTAAAACGACGATACTAACACCGCGAGAATTGACTTTAAAAATTATGGAAAAAACAACCAATCTAAGCGAACCAGCTCGTGAAAAATTATTTGAAAAATGTCTGAAATTTATTGACGACTGTTTGAACCAAGTAGATCCATCGGAAAACAAACCATTGAATAGCTATGGAAAAGAAACAACTCATTTTGGCAGCACGCCATCGTCATTATCAAATTCTTCTGCACTTCAACAAGACATAACATACCCCAGTGAGGAGCATCAACCAAACAAATATGGACGTAAATTAGCAACATTTGTGGCCGATCTTTCGATACCTGATCATACCAAGATGAAACCAGGAGAGCATTTCAAGAAAACTTGGAAATTTAAAAATTGTGGTACTAGAGCTCTTCCTAAAAATTGCAAGCTCATGTTTCTTCAAGGAAAGAAGGCAAATTTCCTTAATGCTCCTGAATTTGTTGCTCTCAAAAATAGAGAAAATGAAATTCAAGTGGGTCAAGAATTTCAAGTGTCAGTAGATTTGCAAGCTCCTTCAACATCAGGTGTATATTCGGCCTACTTTCGATTGGCAGATGAAGAAGGTATATTATTTGGTTACAAAGTCTGGGCATGTGTCGATGTTGTTCTAGAGTAAACATATTCAAAAAATTGTGTTTTACCTCTTTTTCTTTGCTTTCAGCTTATTTTCATAGTCTGTGATGAGATCGGCGTGAATGTTTTCTGCAGGCTCCCACGTGGATTCTGATTTGGGATAACCTTTCCAGTGTATCAAGTATTTCTTTTTTCCGTTTTCTATTTTATGATCCAAAATTGCTTTCACGAAATATTCATCTTCACCTAACTCTTCTCCGTCCACTGATTGTTTACTTTGTTTTGGTGTGCGTTTTTGAATCTTTTTTCTCTTGGTTGTGCGTGGTGTGGAAGTACTAGTCTTTTTTCTTTTCTTGTCATTCGTGTCATTAGAACTTGGCCTACTGGTTGACGCCTTCTCAGATGAACTAGTTTTGTTTAATGGGCTTACTGTTGACTTTTCGGTCAAAGATACAGCCGATTTACTTGGAGAGGCTGTTGGTGTGACCATCTTAGGGGACGATTTAGACGAAGTCACAACATGTTGTTTGTGGACTTGTTTAGGAGTAGTAATATCAGTATTTTGAGAAGTCAAAGATTTTCGTGGTGAGCTTGTTTGAGATGATTTCGGTTGCTCTCCTTCAAATGCTGCCACTTTTTCCATACTCAATGGATGGTGAGACTTTTCCGTAAAATGATCAAAAACAACTTGTAAGCCTGGAGGTAAGCTAGCAAAGCCTTGTTCCGTAAAAAAAACATTGATCAATAATTGATTATAGAATTGTAAAAACTGATCCATGGTCATAGCGGATGAGGCCCGAGAAGAAGCATCAACCAGTCTTGGTGATGAGTCATATATTTCCGGACTTGATTTATCATCATGATGAATGGACGGACTTGTTGATTTCCAATCTGTGGATGACCGTTTAGCTTGATGATCATCAAGATTCCTCTCTGAACCATTTCTCTTGCTATCGGAAGCAGCGGCAGTTGAATCATTTTCTACGTCCTCATCGGAAGACAGTTCATACGTTTGTTTCATTTTTTCTTTAATATTTAATTTGAAATTTTTAGCAAGAGAAAATTTTCTTGTTTTTCGAAATTATTTGAATTTAAAGAAGGCGCACGTTAGGAAGAGTTTATTTACATTGCGTGTAAACACATATGAACAACTATTGTACAGTTAGCATGTACATCTCTCTTAGTGTTGACATTGAAAGGTTATGTCACAATAAATATTAGCTTTTTCGTTTCGAGCATGGGGTGACATTTTCACGACTTGCAAATACTTCATGGCAATGGGATGGTCATAATCGGTAATGTCAAGAATCTTGTTAAAGATTTGTCTCGCAGTTTTGAGATCTTGTAAATTAATGGATACTCTTCCAACTCCAATCATGGATCGAATTTCCAATGGATTCATTTCTAAACCCTTCTGGAAATATTCAATACTTCTGTTGTAATCTCTAATATTTCGAAGGCCTTCTCCCTTAAAGTACAAAACTTCTCTTCGCATTCGAGTGTCCTCAATAAGGCGATCTGCTCTCTCGAAAAATAGATCGGCCATACTATAACAATCATTCTTCTTGTTGAACGATAACATGTCTTTGAAACTTCCTCGACAAAAATCACCACTATGGTGTGAAACATGTGAGTGTTGTTGATGTTTGGCATCCGCTGCAATATCTGATGAAGAAGATGAGCTGGTTAGAGCTTTGTTTGTGGCCACAGAGGAGTCATGGTCATTCGAGCATGGACATCCCATTCCACATTCATTGGAATATAAATTGGAAGTCAATGCTTCACAAATAATACCAATACCACAATAAGCAATGCAGTGTGAGGTTCGACTGTCGTAGGCCAAAGATCCATTGTTTTTAGCTATCATATAGTCCTCATTATTCAATAACTCGATCAGTTCACTCATTCGTGTGGGATCTAGTCTCTTGCCAACTTTGAAAATTGACTTTCCCATCAATGAGTGAGAAACCTGAACGATCAACAAGAAACAATCCAGTGCTTCCATAAATCGATTCATACAAACCAAAGTTAACCCCTTATTGAGAATGGTCAAGCATGCAGTGGTATATTTCATGAGATAAACTCGCTCATAAATTCTTGTTTTAAATCGTTCTTCGACTGGTGACAGTTGAAGCTTAGAGAAATCTGGTGCAACATATGGAATGCTACCATCATGTGCATTCGCCCTTTGAGAGAGTACATTCTGACAAATTTGAGACAAGTTTTGATCATTCTCCAAAATTCTGAAAATGACATCATCTGGATGAATATTCGAAAGTGTGAATGTGTTCAGAGCAAGTGAGATGGATTTGTTGTAAGTGGCCAAACTTCCTTGGAAATCTTCTTGGAGAAAGAAGCAATTACCCATTGCATTGTAGACTACATCAAAAGTGTCATTGGTGATTTTGATACATTCTTGAAAGGTCTCCAGAGCTTTCTTGTATTCACCTCTCTCATTGTAAGCATTTCCCTTAATGACGTAGGCCCAACGATGTCTTGGATCTAATTGAAGCACTCGATTCTCTAGTTTGATGGTTTCACTAAAGTCAGCACTCACATAATGTGTGACTCCTTTATGATATAGAGCTGTATGGTTTTGAAAGTCATGATGGTATGATGGGAAATATGTCACAACGCCATCACAATTGACAGCAGCGAGTCAATCATCATCCCATTAGGTTAAACAGATTTAAATCAAGATTAAATCATTCGTTACTCTTACAGCAACCTCACTCAACAACAACATACCTTCAACATGATCTGGAAACCTTCTCAATATCCGATCAAAATATTTGGCAGCTTCTGTAAACATTCCTTTTGCATACAAGCTTGTAAAACCTTTTTCAAATAATACATGGGTTGGTACATCGAGTTCCATTTCTTCATCTTCATCCATCATTCTATCATCATCATCATGAGGACGTGGGTAAGTAGTGGTGCGACTCATTGAATTGGCAGTTGTTACGTTTTCTTCTTCTTCCTTGATATAGATCGTTATAAGAAATAGTAGAAGAAGAAACAAAATCAGTACCATCACAAGCATGATTGCAGTATCCGCAGCAGTTCCATACAAGTGGTGGTTATTATTGTAGTAGTCATTGATAAAAACCAACAAGTTGATGAAACTAAAACAATTCCAAGATGACATACAATATTCTTCAAACGACAAGCAAGTGAGAGAAGATCGGAATGTTGATAATGACTAGTTGCGATTGGACACGACCCACCTGTTACTTGTTTTTTTCAAAAGGCTTATGATGGCTTTCAAACAAATTCTAAAAGGTGATGAAATTAATTTGAGAAATGGATGATGGGTAAGAGAGAGAGATGAAAGGATAATGAGAAGACGAGGCGATAATGATAACGATGGTAAACTTGAAAATGAATAACGTGATTTTTCAAAAACAGGAAGAAGGTCAATCACGTTGATCCTCTTTACCTATTGAACTCTCAATCACGTGATGATCCTCTTTACCTATTGAACTCCAATAGGACGCAGAAAACTCTTGGAAATTATCATAAAAAGTCAACAAATTTGGTTTTTTACAAGATCATACTTTTCCATACATACATGAACTCATACATGAACAACTCACACTCATTACCAAGCCAATGGTTGTCCATTGTATTGAATGAAGGCTCCATTTTGAGTCTCTGGATTGAATTTTTCAATAACGTTAATAATACCAGAAACACCATTAGAAACACTCTCTGGAGCTTCCTCACCTCCCATATCAGTCTTTAACCAACCTGGATGAATGGAGAGAGCATAAACATCTTTCCAAGCAGTACTTTGAAGACGTGTTACCATGTTCAAAGCAGCCTTTGAAATAGTGTATCCAGTATAATTTGGATAGTAAGGTTGAGTGGCCAATTCAATAGAGCCCAAAATGGATGAAATATTAACAATGAGAGCTCCCTTCTCTAACAAGTGATTGTTATAGACTTTTTGAGAGAGCAATACAGGACCAACAGTGTTTGTTTCAAAGATCTTGACCATATTATCCCGAGTACTTTCACTGATAGAATCTCCGACTTGAATGGTAATTCCTGCATTGTTGAAAAGAAGAGTAAACTTGAGAGACTTGTTACTGATGCGAGAGACGAGTGCATTGATGGAATCATCACTGGTAATGTCCAATTGATCAATGACCAAACGGTCCTTGTGTTGTTGTTGCAGTTCATTCAATTGTTTGGCTTGGGAGGGATCTCTGCAAGTAGCATAGACGAGTTGAGTGGAGGATTTGTTGTTGAGCAGTTGTTTGACAAATTCTAGACCAATACCTCGGGAGGCTCCGGTAACTAGAACGGATTGGAGAAGATTGTTGGATGGAGAAGATGACATTGCGTGTGTTTGGAACTGAGTTGTTGTATATGAGAGAGAGGTTGTTTCGAATTTTTTGTGTGTGAACGAAACCTAGGCCAGTTTTTAGCAACGAACAAGAGTGGATTGAGCGTCCTCACACGCATGTACAATTGTGACCCCATTCGTGATTCATGCGCATTTCCGAGTTGATGGTTGTAGTCTGTTTTCATGATTGCTTTTATTAAACAATTGTTGCAGAACGATCACTGAGAGCTTAGAAAAATTATTGACTCTTCTTGAACATCAGATTTGACAGTATCGTACGGTGAGATGGTCGAGCGGTCTAAGACGACACGTTAAGGTATGATTAATACCGTGTTCCGCAAGGGCGTGGGTTCAAATCCCACTCTCATCAATTTTTTTTTGTTGACGTGAATGTTCGCTGATTTTAGATTTTTTAAAATCCATCGTTGCTGCCTTTTGGTAAAGGTTGGTAGCAGCAACCATAAACTCTGCTGTACAGTACTTGTTCACTATGGATAGCAGTGGTTGTCACAGGTTCAATGTCCCTTCAATCAAAATGTCGAGTTCAAAAACAATAACCAAAAAAAATGTTCAACATGAACCGATTCAATCACTTGACCCTCTTTCCAGTTTTGAAACATTCCAACAACCTCATGCTCTCCGGAATGATAAAGAGGAATACAACAACTCTTTCATACAGCATCACACTGATTTCAAGAGAAGAAAAACGCACAAAACCACACTTTTTCAACAGCGGAGGTGGTATTCGGAACAACTATGAACAGCATTGGAACAGTAATACTCGACAAGGCTTTGATGGAATGGAACGAACATTTTCCAGTGTTCCAGTCATGAACAAAAAAACTGGATATTTAGATCGGAAGGAAAAGAAACATCTCTCTCGCAATGCTAATGCTTCCTTCTCGAGTCATTCAGATAGGAGAAGGAATTCTTCGTACCGTGAAGAATATGATCCATTCAAGCCTAAAGTGAGACCTCAATCCGATACAGCAATTCCTCTCAAACCTGTCCGAAATAAGTACATTACTGATGATATGGATAAGGAATTTACTGATAAAAGTAATGAACAAAAGATTCAAGCTCCAAGCTTCTTTGCAAATCCAAAAGGAACAGAACAAGCTGTGAAAGCCACCAAGGAAAATGTTCAGAAATATATTGAGGAATATAAAAAGTCAAGAGGTCATCATCATCATTCTCATCGTTCTCATCACAAAGAAGAACATGCACAGAAAAAGGCACCTTCTTTCAAGCATGGCCATCAGGATGTTCGTGAGGAAGTTACACCAGTGGACAAGAATATTCGAGCAATGTCCAATTTAGATGCAAAGCTTTCATCTTTTTTGAATGAGGCAACGGTTATGGAGATTGATGAAAATGTGGACATGGAATCATTGGTAGCAACAGATAGACTCAAGCATATTGAAGAGTTACTTGAACAAACAGAAAATGCTGATTTTGACAAAATAACCGCCCCCAAATTGAGTGATGAGGAAAATAGAAGTAGACTTGGTCATCTATACTTTGCAACCATTGCAGAATATATTGAAGAATGTTTACTTGAGAAATTGAAACATCAAGATAAGATGACCGATGAAGAGTATTATCGATATCTCAGTTTAGAGAGGCCGTACATTACGAGCGTGAACATTTCACCAGATTATCGAACTGTGACACTTAATTATAAACTATTGATACGAGAAGAAATTGATGAAATGAACGAACAAGCCTATGAAAGAGATCGCCAAATTCTTGAGAAGGTTTTCCATGAGGAATTTGCGGCACAAGCCCTTAACAAATTCATTCATTACCAACGTGATGTGTTGAATGATTTTGAAATTTCTCAACACATGAAATTGAGCTATAAGGGAACAATGATGTATGTTCCAACTATATTTGACGAAAAACCACTTCCTGCAGAGCCAGGAAAACGAAGACAACACATTAATCCATATGCAGACATGCCTCATTTCACACAACAACCATTTTCTGGGGAGAAACTTTTCGCAAAACTAGAAGAGCTTGGAATTGCTGTGCCAGAAGACGGACCAGTGAATTTCAAAATGCCTCACAAATCTTCAAAGAAGAAGAAGTAAATTATTGCTCCAATTTTTAGAATCATTATGAAACTAAATCTGAAATTAAATAAAAAAATAAAAAATGAGTCCACACGAAAGTACAAAGAAATCGCAATCTTCTTCCTCGTCATCATCATCAGCTTCATCGGGGAAGAAGCCATCTAAATATCATATCAAGAACAAAAGACATCAACAACATCAATCTGCCCGAAGTAATAAGCATTTTATGATTACAGGGCAAATGTCGGGAACCGGCTTTCGTAGAAGAATTGCTACCGTGAATGATGAAGAAGTGGATCAGGAAGAACTTTTGGCCATTCAACAAGAGGAGCAAATGAAAAGATTGAAATATGGAAAGAGACAGCTGTTAGACAACTCATTCAGATTCAAAACCGAAGAGGAAGATGAGGACGAAAAAACTCCACAAGCTGAAGAAAAGAAAATGAAAGCAAAATTACAACATGAATTGAATAGAATGGAAAAGGAAACAATGATGATGATATCAAACAGTGTTACTTTGACTCAGACATTTGGATCTGCAACGTCAAGAGGCTTACTCGAATGGGAAGAAACTGAAAAGGAGGATTATTCAACAACATATGATACAATTATGAGAACCTTGTTTTATTTGGATCAAGCAGAGCTAGCCAAGCAAATTAAAAATCCACAAATTTCGTTGGAAGAACGATTAGATTTGATAGATATTTGTGGACGAACAGAAAGTACATTGCCAACAATGGAGAATAATCATATTCATGAAACATTTGACAATCAATCAACGAAAAAGGATTTTATACCGATTGGACAATTTTTGAGCGGAGCCATTGATGTGACATCAATGGAGAGAAATGACCATGTTCAGTATACTGACGATGATGAAGCCTCTCTCTCAGATGATGACGAAACACAAGAAAAAATACCTTCCTTTGAGAATGTGGACAATATTGAACATGTGGAAGGAGTCACGATTGGTTCTTCAGATGATGTAAATGCATGCAATATTATAGAGATGAAAGAGCAAACACCAATAGACATTTTAGATGAAATTGTTCAAGAATCAGAGAAGCCAAGTGTCACGCAACGGAACAACATGGTATTGAATACATCCACGCCCACAATTAGCTCAACCAAATCTGAACCTGTAAAAATCATTGACACAGCTGATGATGTACTGGATGACCTTCTTTCCCTTTCTCAAAATACTCCATCCAATGTATCTCCTTCAATTACCAACATTTTTACACAGAGTAATAATACTCGCTCAACAACGGTCATTAAGACTGTATCTACTGAAACTCCTAAACCAACAAATCTACCAGTTACACCACCCAAAGAAGAAACCAAAGAATTAGATGAGTGGCTTGATGATTTAATTAATTGAGACAGCATGACTTGAGAAAATGTGCTGTTCATTGCGAATGTCGAATCTCATTGGAATCTCCTTTCACGCACGGTATTAGCTCACCTTAAAGTTCTGTATCTTGTTGAATGAGCAAATAAATTTCTTCTAAACTTTTTCTAATTTCAGTAAATGTTGGTCTTGACAAAGGTTGAGAGGACCATGCACGTTCTACCACACTGAAATACATCAAAATACTTTGTGGTAAATTTCTCAACGACTTTCTCTCACTCAATGGCATGTATTCCTGTATCCATGTCAGCACTTGCTCTTCGGTGCTGAAAGGAATGGTAGGTCTTTTTCCCTGAAGTACCAATTGTGGAATGTTGAAACAATGATTCGAATAATCGCTTGAACTTGTGCCAACACTATTGAGTGGAGAAAGCTTACTAGCATTGGAAACAAAGGGAGTTTCCTCAAAAAACACTTCGTGCAAAATGATTCCAAAACTATACACGTCGAGTTTGGTGTAATAATCGACTCGTTCTTGCTTGCTCATGTTGCTCATGAATTGTTCCGATTGAGGATCCAATAGTTCAGGTGCCTTTTGTTGCAATTGCGAACATGTGTTAACAACAACAAAAATCCAAACACAATGTACCTACCATATAAAACAATGTTCCCAAATTCATGGTAAATGCACTTTGCATGGCAGTGGTTGTATTGGCCACCGTTCGACTAATTCCAAAATCACAAATTTTGGCTTCAAAATGAGAATCCAATAAAATGTTTCCAGGTTTCTTTTACAACAATTAATGTATGAGCATCTCACTCACACATATATATTTGGAAATTAATGTGAAACTTACCAAATCTCTATGAATAACTCTTGGTGTCATTCCATGTAAATATTCCATTCCTTTAGCAGTTCCGATGAGAATAAAAAGTTTTGTTACCAAACTCAGAGGTTCCAATCCTTGTTTGCTTTTTGAAATAATTTTGTCTAAGGATCCTTTCGAAAGAAATTCTGTAACCATATACTTGCTATCAGAAGTCAGACAAATTCCATAAAAAGTCACTATATTGGCATGTCTTAACGAACTCACTAGTGAAACTTCCTTTTCAAATTCTTCATCCATTTCCTCTCGGTCGGATGCTTTTAACAATTTAATGGCAACATCCACCTTGTTCCATAATTTTCCTTTATAGACAACACCAAAACCACCAGCTGCCACTTTCTTTTCAATTTCGATATGTTCAATTGGAATGATAAAGGAAGGTTTTTGTTTCTGTTGATGACGAGAAGGTGAATGATGATGATGATCACTACTTGTTGTACCTAATAATGGTTTGTGGAGAGAAGAATTTTCTGTATGATCATGCATCTCTTCATCCATTCCAAATATGATCCTCTTGTCAATAATCTTTTTTTCAATATTTTTTTCAGCTCTTTCCTTTTCTTGTAATAACTTGAATTTCTTAATAATATAAAAAGCACACATAATGATTGAAATACCAATAATAATGCCTCCAATGAGAAATACAATTCCAACAGGAACCACAATGCCAATTAACAATGCTTGATCAATTTTGTCATTTTTCACACAAATGTAAACAGTTTTGTCCTTGAAAACCTCTCTCTGAAGCAATCATTCCTTGTGGACACGGTATGACATGGACAGAAATCCATGTTGGTAATAGAATGTTTTCAGGTAAAATGGAAATATTTTGTGAAGTTGAAAAATTTTCTGTCGATACTTGTTTCAAGTTGAGAGTGATGATCGATCCATTTAAGGAGAAGTCTAATAAAAATTGATTGGAATTGATTAATTGAAGTGAAAATAGTTGAGTTTCAAGAGGAGTCCATCTATGGAATATATCTGTTGCATGGACAGAAATGGAAATATTTTGTCCTGGATAAACTGTTTTTGGTAAAAGTTCTGTAACTGTAAATTGTTGAATCGTGGAGGCCATATCATTACCAAATATTTTCGCATGATTATTGATAAATTTGACACTCTTAGTCTCGATCAAATCATTAACGTTCTTAATATTTGAAAAATAGAGTGCACCACCTGCATTCAACGCTTGATTGTTTTCAAAAATACTCTCACGAATCAGACATGGATGAATGACATCTGGCATGTTCGGTTGTTGATGGATAAATATGGCTCCACCTCTCAATGCACTATTATTCGAAAAGTAAGCTTTTAAAGATGTACATTTTGGAGAAGATAAATATATAGCTCCTCCACTTCCCATAATTCCCATCGTGTTGGTTTGAATCAACGAATTTGTGAGCACTCGATTATTGTCAAAACGTGAACCTGTCAAACTCAAATCTGCTCGAATTAATCCATCAATAGCCACAGCACCTCCTCGTATTCTTGCTGTATTATTTATGAATGTGTTGTGCTCCAAAATTAACACATAGGCAGCTGTCATGAAAATTGCTCCTCCCACGTCATGACAATAGTTATTTTCAAACATATTTCCAGTAATGTTTGTCATGGACCCTCCAAACACATATTGAGATTTTGACATTCCAAGAGAGCATGATCCTCCTCGTGTGAAGGACCAACCATTTCTGAAAGTATTATTATAAATATGAATATTGGCATGAGAGTGAATGAGTAGATCATTTCCATGTAAACCATAATTCGAGTCAAAATAAGAATGTTTCAAACTAAAAGATATTAAATCTTCTATAGTAATAATATTTAAAGTGCTGGAAACTGTACTTTGAACTCTATTATTAGTAACTTGTAAATTCTCCAATTCGAGTGAAGTGACATCTCGACAATGCAACCACGTGTACTGCAATCCATTGACTCTACAATTCTTAATTTGAACATGATCCAATCTCTCTAATGAAAATAAACCAGCATCGAGCATGATGTATGATAAAAACTGTGAATTGGAAACGAATAATTGAATGACACCTCTCATGTAGAAGGTAAATCGTTGTGCTACATAGATCATTCGATCGATACGAACACTTTCAACATTGGTAATCTTACAAAATAATCCATCGTGGATGACATAATCGATCATTTCAACCTTTTCAGAATTTTCAAAACTAAACGTGGTCATGAGTTGTTTTTGAATGACGTTGGATAACGTAATCGTTTTCATGAACGAACACATGACTAGAGTATTTTCAATGGTTACATTTTGAAAAGTTAAAGAATGTGAAAAGGTCCAAGATTTGAAAGAATCCATTGTGGACATTTGCGAATCAGCTGAGGCACTTCCACACACATCTCGATACACTTGTTGAATACTTTCAACGAATTGAGCAAGAAGAAAGACACTATTGACAATATTGCAATTCGTGAAACGCATCTCAATGGGTGTGCATGAAAAAATGTACAAGGTTTGTGCATTCAAAAAAGAAAAATCCAAAAGTGAAATATCACTTCGATTGAAGGGAAGATCCTTTGAACATTGAACTTGAGGATACATTCCAGTCACATTATTGGGCACGCCCACAAATTTGAATGAATATTCAATGGTGTGTCGAGGAGGTGTCATGAAATCTGCAAAACAAAAATTAAATTCATCATTCATGATATAAAATTGAACAGAGATGTTGGAAGTGAGATTGGAGGGAATGCTCATGGAAATATTTCGTAACTCCAATTGATCATTCAATTGTTGAAATGCTTTTAACAATGAAGGACATGCTTGTGAAGGAGAGCTTCCACAATGTTGTTGTTCATGGATTGGATTGAAAGTGTCCACATAGAACGTAAATGAATATTCATTGTTTTGAAAAGATTCAGTGAAGGACCTTTGATGCACAGGTCTAAATGGAGGAGTTGTTCTTTGGTTATAATTATGGTGGAATGGGATGGAAATAGGGTTGGGAATTAATTTGTTGATGATGTTAGTGTGAAAGTCGTTGTTGTTGATGTTATTATTGTTGATGATCGTGGCATGAGATCCAAGTGGAACAATATTGAACAATAGCCACAAGCTAATCAATAAAATCATGTGTTGTGACAGCAGCATGTTTGGTGTGAATTTTTTAAGAGTTTGGATTTTTGAACTGTTCGCATAAAAAGACAAACTTGGAAATTGTGATATCAATGTTACTGAAACACCAATGCAGGTTTACAGAGAGGAGCTTGTGCTACAATTTCCTCAAAGTTGTTAAGGCCTAGCATCAATGAATCTGAGTTGTTGTTTTTTAAAAATTATAAATTCATTCATGCAGATGTGATAAACCATCACTCATCGTTTAAAGTCCTGATTTTGCTCGTTGATAACTTTCCTTCTTCAAATCTTGCAATGCTTGTCGTTTTTCTTCCATCTTTGCCTTAGATCGTGCAATCAAAAATCCAAAGAAAAAGAAAATGACACTAAATGCCAATATCGACCACAAGAAAAGAATACTAATCTTGAGTCCGTTTTTCTTTCCAATATAATCTGCAAACCAACCCATTGCATAGGGTGAAGGGAAGTCGCCAATGGCATGAATGACGAAAATTTGGAAGCTCATACTGTAATTTCTAAGGTTTGTTGACACCACTGACAAAAAGGCAACATTTACAGGACTTGTAATGCTAAAAATGAAAAACTCGGCCATAAACAGCAAAATAAAATAGACAGCAATAATGTCCGTCGAAAAGGCACCAAACCCAATCAAGAGTGCAATAAAAATAAAGATTGCACACAACATTAATCCTCTAGCACTTCCAGCCATTCCCTTACTTCCTCCAATTTTGTCCAACACAATACCTCCAGTAATAGAGCCCACAATTCCTGTAACAACACTCACAGCAGAGAAGGCCAAGCTTGCTGCATACATTGGGATGTGGAGAGTTTTAGAAACAAGAGTGGGACCCCAAAATGCAAGAGCACCAATCACAAAGGTATACATGGTATAGCCCATCAATGCAAACATGTAAACTGGATTCTTAACTAGATGATAAATAGCTTGGAATAAATGGTAGTGTCTATCTTCCTCTGGTGCGTTTCCATCAGCAGCTTGACTCGTCACATCGGTTTCGCTCAGCACTGCAACACTGGCTTGACTCTCAGAATTTTCAAGACTGCTGACTTGAGAGCTACTTTCCTCTCTCTTTTCCAAAAGTGAATTATTCTCACCTAAAATACGTTCACTTTCTTCTCGTTCAATTCTGTCTTTTCTGTATTGATCTGATGGAGGGATCATCAAGAGAAGAAGGGCGAAGGGAACAATTGCAATTCCCTCTCCAATGAATACAACGGTCCAATCCAAGAAGGAAGCAATAAGACTGCTCACACCATACCCTAATGCAACACCAACAGGCATGGCCAAATAGAAAATACCCATATAGATCGTTCTGTATTTGGCTGGAGCTACATCGTCAAGTAAGGTCGGAGCGACTGGTGCGTAGGCAGCTTCACCGACACCAACCAAGCAACGACATGCAGCCAATAAAAAGAATCCAGTTTTATCACTGATAATTCCTGTGAATCCACACAAGATTGTTAAACATGCCCATATTACTAGTCCAATAAACATGACAAACTGTGAATTATTACAATGTAGTAGTGTCATGATATCGTTATACATAGGTCAATAAATAATTGCATTCAATATTGAAAAAGTGAGACGGGTCAATAGTATGAATGCATTCATGAAACATGTCTCGCTTTGAATAATATATGAAAATTACCTTTAGAGGAATTTTAACAGCTAACTGTGCAAAAATTGGACCAAATATCATATATCCCACCATAAAAGCCGATCCGAGTCCACCCTGCTCACTTTTAGACAGGTCCCACTTCTTTTCTAATTTATCAAGAATACCCTGTATGTTAGAATATTCAAAATAGTTCAATTTTGAAGTGATAAAAATCGTTATCGTTCATTTGAAAAACATGGTTCGATTCCGATCAAGTTTGATGACATAAAATAACATCCAACAAATCACGTGAATAGTCCATACATCGTTTCATTCAATGATTTATACCACACCCATTATCGTCATCAGGATGAATCAACATCATTATGAAAATCAACCTACAGAAACTACTCCTCTATCAAAATAAATAAATAAATTCAAAATGACCAAGTAGCCGAGCAACACCTTGGGTCCGAATACTCTTCTTCCAAATCTATTGTATCGGTCCACAAATCGGGAGAGAGCCTCTTTGACCCGTAGCAACGATTGTGGGAGTTGCATTTTTTATGATTGGAGTCTGGCCACGACGGAGCTTGAATTTGGAACGAAAGTTGAATTGAATTGAGGTAACCATGATCCAAGACGAAGATCAATTTTAGGACCACCCTCGACAAAGGCTTTTTTTGTTGTCAGGCTCATGAGATAGTGTTTGGTGATCTTTCCTTAATGCAAGCTCAATGAAAGAACAAGACAAAATCGCCCAATGTTTATAAATTGTAGATTTAGAGGGATCTCAAAACAGAGTTTTGCTTTTCGTCAGTAATGATCTTACCGAGTTCTGTGACATATGACTTGTCAATACTGTCTTCACCAACGTCAGCTCTCCATCCACCAAGATCAGATGGCAAGTAATCTTGACTGAAGGCAACTCTGGTCTTGAGTGGAGCAAGAGTTCCGACAGCAGCCATCTTCATCTTGAAAAGGTGAGTAGTATATTTGGCTGGCAATGGTTCTGCCATGGTCAATTTTCCGTAAGCAATTTGGAAATGAGCATTGTACAACTTGGCGTATTCCCTGACAATGGTTTCAAAGATGGTTTCTTGACCTCTTTGATAAACAGTTGCCAACAAGTCAGATCCAACCTCAGGAGCAACTCCAGATTGTTTCAAAAACTGAGTGAAAGCCTCAGTAGTTGCAGTGAGTGGTGTACCTTGTTTCTTGAAGAAAGCCAAAACTTCTTCCAACTATTCACACCATAGGGTTTGTTGTTTTGAATGTTTGTGTGTAATAATCATCATCAATGTGAATCGTTGCATCATTGGTGCATTCAAAAGACGGTGTCAATTATGTTAGTTTTGAAGGTCCAAGTGTTGTTAGGAATGTTGATTGGATGTTGTTGTTAATATTTTCGGTTATCATGAATATGATGACAAAGAAATAATGACATGAATAAATGATGAATCCCAAGCAAGAAACATACGCTCAACTTGATGTATCCGAGTTGGTTGGTATTGAAACCATGTCTGAACAATTGTTGGGCATATTCACCTCCAAATCCTTCAGTAATCACTGGATACTATAGTGAGAGTATAACGTTTAGAAATGATGATGATGAAATATACAAGTTGTACATACTTTGTTCAATTCCTTGGTGAATTTATCGTTTTCATTGAAAGCATCGGTAAAGTAGTTGGCTCTTTGATTAGCCAAAATAGATAATCTTGAATTGTTCTATTGTTGTTGAACAAGTCATAAATTGGACCATCGATGATGATGTTTTAGATTTCATCATGTTAGCTAAATTAATATCTTCAAAAGATGCTCACCTTTGATGATCGGAAGAGGGACTTGCTGGCTCTCAACATTTTTTTTAAATTTGTCAAACTTTACAATACAAGGCTTTCTCAGAGTCTTCTTTTCTTGAAGAAATTATTAAATTCATCAGAATAATTCATCAGAATGCCTTGCTTGTTTGCCTGCTCTACATCTTTCGTCCTTGTACTGCCTTGTCAGGTGATGACAGAAATAATGGAAAGAGTTGTTGTTGCATTGAAAGAAAAAATAATCGACTTGTGGATAAAAAACATATGGAATCCATTCAACACATTGCAGTATTCATTTCGGATCATGGTCTTGGGCATCTCACCAGATTAGCTCCAACCATCAATGAATTATCTAGAAAATTTCCCAATGCCCAATTCCATATTATCACCAATGTCAACAAATTTTTCATTTCCGAGAGGTTGCAAGAAGTACCACGAGAACAAATTCGTTTATTGAATATCAAAATATCAGTTGGACTCATTGAGGAAGAGAATACAGTATCGACATGTCCTTTTAAAACAATTGAAAAGTGGAAACAGCATTGGGATCAACATTACAAGTGTTTGTATGGAGATGGAGATGACATTCAAACACCAATCACTGCAATGAAACAACAAGGGAATGATGTTGGAAATACAAATACTACTTCTCGTAACTCTTCAATGGTTTTTACGATTGAAGAATTTTTACAACCTTTTCAAATTCAATTAGTGGTGTGGGACGTTCCTGATATTGCACCAGTCATTGCCAAACGATTGAATGAAAAATATTCAAGAGAAGGAGGAAAAAGTAAATGGCCTGTTTCAGTAGGTATGTCATTGAGTGGATAGTATAATGATATGGAAAACTTAGACGACACGTTGTCTTTTATATTTTACCATTATTCATGAATTACTATTCATGGGTCAATTACAATATGTAATTTTCAGGAATTTCGAATTGGTGTTGGGAATGGATTTATGAGCATTGTATGGACCATTTCCCACAGGACATACCTAAAGATAGGATAGTAGGCCATATTCATCAAAATCCAGTGACTTTTCAAGAACTAGAGCAGCAACAGCAATTTATGGTAAAACAATCTAGATTACTGTACAGTACTTTGGGGAAAACAGATTTATTTATTCAATTACCTTACCCAACAGAAGAATTACCTTTCAACAGAGATGTCACTGTTGTAAAACCTCTCGACAATAGTTGGCCCATTACAGAAACCATCAAAAAAGCCAAATTTACCAAAGATCAAATGAAACAGTGGATATTCTCGAAATCTAGACTGGCATCAAACAAAACGATGGATTTGTCACATATTAAGATAATGATGTTTTCATTTGGAGGTCTTAGCTTTCCATCCTCAACACTCATTCAAGAAAAAGAGCCCACGTGGGAGATTCCAAACGATTGGTTAATCGTGGTCATGTGTAGTTCCAAAATTGAAGGAGAAGCACTTCCAGCCAACGTTGTGAATTTAACATTCTTAGATTTGGGAAATGAGTGCATTGATTTTGCACGTGATTTATTACTTGCTGTGGATGTGCTTGTTGGTAAAACATCTTATGGAACCGTTACAGAAACGCTCTTTCATCAAATTCCAACCATGTATTTGGAGCGATATGGCATGATTGAGCACGGGTTTACAGAGAGGTAGGTGTAATGTGGTTGAGAATTGATTGTTAACGGTATCATTTGGACATTTTATGGTATTCACTAAAGGGCTCTCATTGACAACCTTGGAAAAGGGTGTACCTGTAAAGTAGAAGGGGATGAAGTGGTCAACGCTCTCCCATCTCTGTTCCTTAAGGCCTCACATTTAATTGAAAGCAAAAAGCGTACGAGTTTAGAATCCAATGATCAATGCCCTCGTAGAGTGGATCTTGATTTTAATGGTGGACAAAAAGCAGCTGAAATGATTTGCTCATTCTTGTTGGACAATGTGTAACAAAATTCGAAGAACCAGACGCAATTTGTGTGAAACGTGATCGAATTTCGAACCGTTACGCAAATTTTTGCGCCAAAAATATTATGATTTTCAAAACAATTACAAAAAAATCATCAAATAATTTTCTTCTGGACCCTGGACGATTTCCAACGTGTACACCACCAGGTCAATACAGTCGTCCGTTAATCACCACTCTCATTCTGTTCTTTGATTTCCATAACACATTCCAATTCTCCTTCATCATCGTCCATCATTATTTCAAACTTTCCAAATTGAAATTGTGCTTGTTTCATAGAAAAATTTTCTTCCAATCCCAACGACTACAACCCTCTCATCATCATCATTGATATATATTTCATTGCCGATATTATTCGTTTATATATATACTAGCCCAAAATGTCTCTTGCATGTGAAGAAAACGTTGTTTCCTACTCGGAAAGACAACAAGCCTCTCCAGTCTCACAAAAATTGTTGAGATATAGGAAAATTGAAAAGGTTGGAGAAGGAACCTATGGAGTTGTATATAAAGTGAGTAGATTTATATTGATTATTAAAATCATGATCCTATATTCGTATTTCAATGATGATCACCATACATTTAAATCATTTAATTTTCATCATGACAATGAAAAAGGCTGAAGATACTCAAACAGGACAAATTGTGGCCATCAAGAAGGTGAGATTGGAACAAGAGGATGAAGGTGTTCCATCGACATCCATTAGAGAAATCTCTCTATTGAAAGAGTTGAATCATCCTAACGTGGTGCGGTAAGTGTTTCTACGTAGATTGGTATTATTTGAAATTTTGGATTAATGACCAATTCATGTTATTTACGGATTGTGAATGTAAACAGATTGCATCAAGTTATTCATAGTGATCAACAATTGCATCTCATCTTTGAGTTTATTGACCATGATTTGAAGAAAAAGAATGATCATTATAAAAAAGTTCTCAAACAACCCATTCCTCCTCAAGATGTCAAGATGACAGTGTACCAAATTCTTAAAGGTATTGCCTTTTGTCATTCCCAAAGAATTATCCACAGAGATTTGAAGCCACAAAACATTTTGGTAGGCATTGAAGGAGATGTCAAATTGGCAGACTTCGTAAGTGATCTTTTGATGAGTGTTTGTGTCATGTTGAACTGTTATTGGATCGACATTGTATGATTTGTATGATTATTGTCACACTGCATGATGCTTCAACTTTGAATGTACACATTGAAACAACCATTTAGGGTTTGGCTCGTGCTTTCCAAATTCCTACAAGAACCCTCACTCATGAAGTTGTAACATTATGGTATAGAGCACCAGAGATCCTTTTAGGTTGCAAGACATATTCCACACCAGTCGATGTCTGGAGCGTTGGATGCATCTTTGCAGAGTTATGTAATGGATCAGCTTTATTCCCTGCAGATTCTGAAATTGACATGCTTTACAAAATTTTCCAAGCTTTGGGAACACCAAATGAGCAAGTGTGGAAAGGTGTGACTGCACTTCCATTGTGGAAACCAATTTTCCCTCAATGGCGTGGCAATTTCATCAGAAGCTTGGTGCCATCATTGTGCGATCAGGGTATTGATTTGTTATCGGTATGTATTTTATATTATTTTGAAACAGTCGTTGACAATGTTATGTTCAATTATAATTTCTTCGTTTTAATACAAATTCATACAGAAAATGCTTGTTTATCAACCAAACATGCGTATTACTGCTAAACAAGCTCTTGAGCATCCATACTTTGATGACATTCGTTAAATTTTAAATCCTTCAGAACTTGGAAAAAGTCATCCAAATTCTCGTTGTGGTTGTTAATTGTAATGTGTTACTTGTAATAAAGCTTAACACGCTTTTTCAACCAACCAATCACCCAAAAATATTAACTTATTAAACAAACATTTCGTTTTCTACAAAACTACTAGCAAATCCTTGAATGAATACCTGTTTTTAATAAATTAATTATAATGATCAAAGTTCTTATTGTTGCTGTTGTTCTCTCTGTTGAACGGCAGCATATTTCACTAATCCAACATAGGGAGCGGATGGATGTTCAAGAGAGCTCTGGAATTCTGGGTGATACTGAACAGCCACAAAGAATTTGTGTGTAAGAATTTCACAAATTTCTTGTCGTTGTCGTGTAGTATCTTGAGCTACAAAGAATAATCCGTGTTGAGCAAATTCTGCAACAAGAGTTGGATTCACTTCATATCTGTGTCTGTGTCTTTCAGTAATTCTTGGCTTCTTGCCATACAATTCAAAGATTTTAGATTTTGAGAGTAGAGAACCTTCCAAATTTTCAACTTCAGCTTCATCGCCTCCAGTTGGTGAATTCACAAAGATGGAAGTTCGAGCACCCAATCTCATCGTACCTCCCAGGTGAGTCTTGGAAATTTCTGGCATGTAGACAATGACATTCTTAGGTTCAGTCTTCTTCTTTCTATCCTTCTTTGGACTCTCTTCGGTAATAGCTTCAGTATTAAATTCTTCACTTGTGGCACTTTGATATCCCAATACGTTTCTTGCAAATTCAATGACAGCCAATTGCATTCCCAAACATACTCCCAAGAATGGAATGTTATTTTCTCTGGCATACTTGATGGCTGCGATTTTTCCTTCTGTTCCACGAATTCCATAACCTCCAGGAACTAAAATACCGTGACATGAACGAAGAAGTTCCCAATTTGATGAATAGGAATCAGAGCTTTGAGAGGATGCTTCGTCATCTTCTTCAATTGCACTTGTTGAGGAAGAGTCACATTCCAATGTGCTTGATTCAATGTAAACAAGTTCAATCTTTTCACCTAAATGTAAGCTTGCATGTTGGAATGATTTTTGAATGGAAAGATAGGCATCAGGTTGTTCTGTATATTTACCAACGATGGCAATTCTAGTTGCTGTTTTTTGAGCATCTACTTCATCGAATTTGGTAATAAAGTTAGTCCAAACTGGTAACTTGTCAAATTCCAAGTCACCTTTTTGTTGTAAACCAAGTCTCTTTTGAAGCAATTTTCCGAGTCCTTGTTGAGCCAATAATTCTGGAACTGCCAACAAGTTTCTAATGTTGTGACATCCAATCACGTGATTGCATGATTCCACACCACAGAAATTGAAAATCTTCTCTCTGACTGACTTTTGCAAGACCTTTTCAGATCTCACAACAATGAAGTCTGGAGAGAATCCAACAGCTCTCAACTCTCTTACACATTGTTGTGTTGGTTTTGTCTTTTGTTCACTGTCACTGGTAATCGTTGGTGCTAAACTGACCATAATGCAACAAAAGTTTTCTCGACCAACCTTTTGTTGGAATTGACGTAAAGCTTCAATGAAAGGCATTCCCTCAATGTCTCCAATGGTACCACCCAACTCAATGATACAGACATCTGGATTAGAAGATGGATGTTTCTCTAAAATTGCAACATCTGTAGTGACAATACTGACACGGCGAATCCATTCTTGAATTTCATTGGTGACATGAGGAACCACTTGAACGGTCTTTCCCAAATAATCACCTCTTCTTTCCTTCTCAATGACAGACTTGTAAATCTTTCCAGTGGTAAGGTTATTGTCAGAGTGAAGTCTCAAATTCAAAAATCTTTCATAATTTCCCAAATCTAAATCAACTTCACCACCATCATCCAACACATAGACCTCACCATGTTCTATTGTCATGTTGTGTAATTTGAACAACGAGTCCAAGGAGATTCAAGATTGAACAACCATCCAGATCACCAAATTCATCAAAAAAAAATTGGAAAATGAGACGAAATTATTTTTTTTGCGTGATAATCATGATGAATTTCGGATCATCATGAAGCATGAGAAATTACATACCATAAGGGGACATGGTACCAGCATCAATATTGATGTATGGATCAATCTTAATACTCGTAACATTTTGTCCAGCTTCCTTCAACAATCTTCCAACGCTACTGGCAATAATACCCTTTCCGAGACCTGAAATGACACCACCAATAACCAACACGTATTTCGTTTTTGAACTCATCCTAGCAATAGTAGAAGCAGTAGTAGTATGGGGAATATATATCTTGTCGTTGTAATTTGGATACCAAAACTTAAATGGAAGTTACAAAAGTTTATGCAGGTGCAACAAAGGCTTTGCTGAGTGCGAGTGTTTTCAACTTCGACTTTTTTTTCAAAAGAGAGAGAAGAGAACAACGACAATGCTGGTGGGGACCTGATATTTCTTCTTCATCATAAATCTTCATTATAAATCTTCATAGGATTGATTGGTTCATTATTATTGCATGATGATTCTCATGAGTTATGTAGTTATGGATTTCCATAGCGGACAAGATAAGGAATGAGGCAAAACATGTTCCTTCAAATTCAAGAATGAAACAAACTCGTTGTTCAAATTTCCAGAATTTTGTGTTCTTCCATTGGAGAATGCACACTCGAAAAAAAGCATGAAAAACAAATCATCACAAGACAAGAAGAAGAATCCTTCGTCTAACAAGAAGACTTCCGAAGAAAAACACAAGTCCGTAAAAGGAAATAATGAAAAACATGTTGCATCATCATGCATGAATGTCCATGCATCCTCCTCTTCTCCCATCGACAAGACCTATTCCAAAATTCAAGACTTGGAAAATACTGACAAGCTTCTCATTCAATCTCCAAAATTTGACGTCGATGCCTTTCAAAGATGGTACAAATTCTATTTGAATGAGAATAACAAGGATGCTCTCCAATCCATGAGAATTTACATCATGAAAGATACTCAAAAAGCCATGATGGAAAATGGCTACTATTTTACCAGTAAACAAGTCAAGATGGCACTACGAAATTCTGAAAAGGAAATATTTGAGAAACAGTTGAGAATGAATAAGGTCTATCTGTATGAAGAACAGGATCGAGTAGTAGGGGAGACAATTAATGGTGATACTACTGTCAGTACTTCCTTAACAACAAGTGCTTCTTCGTCGTCGTTGAGTACTTTGTTGAATGCATCATCCAATCAAATCACGTCGATTACTGTAGTGAAGGAAGATTGCATTTCAGCGCTCATTAAATTACATGAAAAGGGTCTCAATCCATGCATTTTGAATATGGCTTCTCGTAATAAGGGTGGAGGAGGATACGAAACCGGTCAACCCTCACAAGAAGAAACATTGTTTCGTGTGAGCAATTATATTCATTCATTGTTGGATCCCAATGACATTTATTCGAAATATGCATTGAATGTTATGGACAAACCAAGTAGTTCAGTTTCACACAACCATTCTCATGTGAATACTTTTATGGGACCCAAAGAGTTTTATCCTCTCTCAGATTTTCAAGTCATTTATTCTCCCAATGTTCAACTGTTTCGAAATGGTGAAGACAAATTCTATGAATATCTTGAAAATGGTCCACTCGATATTTCAATCATTGCAGCAGCAGCTTATATTCGACCTGGAACATTTACAGATAAGAAAACGAATCAATTAAGAATGACATCAAAATTTGAGGAAGGAACCAAACAAAAGATTCGAATCATTTTACATGCTGCTCTTGATAATGGTCATGATAGTATTGTATTGTCGGCGTTTGGTTGTGGAGCGTATCGATGCCCGAGTGGTCACACCGCAGAGCTCTTTCATCAAGTGATTCATCAGGAATTCCCAAATCGATTCAAGGAAATTGTGTTTGCCATTTTGGATAATGATTATACGGTCAAGAGCTCTTCAGAATCTCAAAAGAAGCAAGCAGAGAGTAGTAGCAATGGCAACAGCAGTTCTAGTTCGAATTATGAATCATTCAAGAAGGTTTTTTGTTGAGCTGTATCTTGTTGTTTTGTACCATATTTTGAATTAAATACCTCGCTCAATGGACATGCAATTCAACACATCAATTTATTGGAAAATTTCATCAATAGTAGCTGGCTCCTTTGGTAATTGTTTCTTTGGAGTCTTCTTGACAGGTTTCTTCTTTGGAGCTTGTTCTTGCTTCTTGACAGGTTTCTTCTTTGGTTCTACTTCAATCTTTTGATCTTGTTCTTGCTTGTTCTTTTTGATGGTAATGAAAATCTTCTTCTTTGGAGATCCCTTCTTCTTCTTGATGGTAATGACAATCTTCTTCTTCTTCTTGGAGCTGCTAACTTTCTCAGATTGAACAATCTTGGAGTTACAATCAGCAAGCAATTTCAACTTTTTGATGGTTGTTTCAGAGAGTTTCTTCTTCTTCTTTGGAACAATCTTCTTGGTCTTGTTAATCGTAATAATAATCTTCTTTGGTCTTGGAACCACCACCTTCTTCTTCTTTGGTTTTTTACATTTTGGTGAAATTTTAATCTTTAAACACATTCGACTCTCTCTCTTGAAAAGACATTTCAATAATCTCTTTCCGGACCGTCCCAATCTTGGTCTTGCACGATTTCTACATCTGAGAGGTCTTCTTCTTCTCAATAAATCCCACAATCTTCTCAAATGCAACGAGCGGAGATGTCTTGTGGCGCGAAATCTCCGACCATGACATTTTCGAGCAGAAAAGATGGCTCTCAATTTGCGCATCAAGGATCTCGTTTCACTTCTTGAGCATTTCAACGTATGCCTTCTTGGTTTCTTTTGAATTTCAATCACCAATTTCTTCTTTGGTTTTTTACACTTTTTCTGCTTTTCCATCACGAGAACAACTTTCTTGGGTTTTGGTTGACGTTTTTTATGATGAAGTTCAACGACAATGGTCTGAGATTTCTTTGATGGTTTTGGCTTTGGTCGACATGTGTTCGTTCCTGGAATTTGGAATGGTGGAATTTTAATCGTGATTGGTTTCGAAGGAACGGTAATGACTTGATATTGACCATTTTGGGAAGTGGCATCTGACGTTGTCGAAGAGGCAGCAGCAGACGAATCCGAAGTTGCTTGTTGTTGAGTGTTGGGAGCACTTGTTGTTGGTACTGGAATTTGTAAATTGATCACATGAGTTTGAGGTTGTTGTTGTTGTTGTTCTTGAGATTGTTGTGGTTGACTTTCAGATTGAATTTTGAAATTATTTCCGGGAGCGCTCAAGGTAAATCCCTGAGCTGTGGAGAGTGTCATCAAGAAACACACAACCAGCAAAAAAAAGATGCCAGCGCTGGCGGTTGTGAATTGCATTTTTTTGAGATGAAAATTTTTATTCAAGTGACAGGTGACGGGTGACCCAGCATCACAGAAGAACTTTGAGAAAACAAGATCTGCTGGTTCTTCTTTTCAAAAAATGTTGTTTCGATCGAAATGCAACACTTCAAACTCTCATGAAAAATCTGTCATTCTTCATCTCGTAGATTTTCTTCCAAACCTCAATTTCCAAAATTGTGAACTAGCTCAAAAGAATTCCTCCACACATTCCGAGCATAACCATATTTCATTATCAAATTTAACAAAATTATTTGAAAAATTACAAAATCAATGGACAGAATTTTCTCATTTTGCTCACAAGAAGAGTTTTTCAAAAAAATTTAGTCATTTAGAAAGTATTTATGTTTCACAAGGAGGAACGATCGATGTAACCATTTCGTACACTCTTCAAAGTATTTTGTTGAGTACTAGTAATGGATGTATTCATTTCTTTGAATTGAAAAAGTCTTCTTTAGAGAATGGAATTTCGATCATTACTAAAAATGGAAAAACTCGAATGAATTGTTGTAGAAAGTTACTGGGCTCTGTTCGATTTAATGTTCGATATAGTCCAACCTTTGTGTGCGTGGAGGAATGCTTAGATGAGTATTTGATAAATTCAAATGCCTTGTCCAATTCCAACGTGCCACATGTCATTGTCAGTTGTGAAAGCTGTCGTGTTGTGAAATTCAATTTAATAGAACTACTCAAACAAGCCAAAGAGAATCATATGAAATCACTCGAGACGAGTACAGACCTTTCACATCACAACATTCCCATCTCTAATATTGCACCCGTATGGTCCTGTGAAAAATTTTCATTACCTGCAGGACTTTGTTTATGGAAAGATAATTCCAATAGTACAGAACATTGGTTCAGTCATGAAATTGGCAACGATGAATCAAATGCACAAAATATTCTCAACTCCAAGACCTTTGTCGTAGTAACAGATTATTCGAAAAAACAAATTTTATTCCTCAATTCCAAAACTGGACAAGTTATGAACATTTTTGATAATTTTGCATGTTTGATTCGACCATATGATGTTGAATGTATTGGAGAGAATGAAATCATGTTTATTGACCAACGTTCATCCAATTACTCTCAAATATTTGTGATGAAATTTCAACAACAACCATCCAATGACTCTCAATTATTTAGAAAGAAAATGCCAATGTCCAACGAGAAGGAATGGATGAAAGCTGGAGAGGGAAAAGCAACGACAAAGACATCTCCCAAAGCTCTTGTCTATGACAAAATTTCTCAAACCATTATTATGAGTGATCTGTCCAATGATTCAATCAAGATTTTAACCAAAGATGGAAATTGTGTATTGACATCTTTTGGAACCACAGGAGATGCCACTTCCAATTCTCATTTTACTGTACCTCAAGGACTGTTTTTGGACCAATTCACTGGAGAATTATTTGTATGTGATTATCACAATCAACGAGTTCAGATATTCCAATGAAATCAAAAATTTAAATTCCGATATCTGTCCAGAAGAAGAGATCAACAATAGCGAAATCTCACACACATACGTATCAAGTTGTTGAAAAGTACCAATCCAATGCCCTTTAGTAGATTTAAACCATTAAGGTCAATGAGAACATGAAAGGAACCTCATAAATTTGTCAGTGAGCAACATTCCAAATTCTCTTTTTTCAATATGGAAGTTGAACTGTTTTTTTCCTCCATCTCGAATTTGAATCGTTGGTTTTTAGCGCCTTGTGTTCACACGCCCCACTTGCAAACTCTCAAAAAAATGTCTTCCAAAAATCTTTCAACTTTCGTTCCGAACATGTCTCTTCCAATCACAAGGATTCAAAAAAGACGACTACAACTGCTGCAATAAACAGCAGTACTAGCAATTCGTCTCAACCCGTCGTGAACCAAAATAGGTCGTCGTCAGAATTCATGTCCTTGTCTCCTTTTAAGAGTGAAAAGATGAATCTTCATTCCAACACAACTCATGGGAGTACAAAAAAAACACAATTTAAAGCTCAACCAGTAGGAGGAGGAGGAGCCAATGTCGAAGAACGTGAAGCCTTAGGGTCCTCTTCTTCTTCAAATTCTTCAAAGAAATTTCGATATATTTGTGTGTTAGATTTTGAAGCTGTCTTTTCAGAAGATTGTAAAACGAATCGAAATTATGACATGGAAATTATAGAGTTCCCATCCGTTCTATTGGAATATGAATCTAGTAACAAACTTCGAGTCGTGGATCAAATTCAAAATTATGTTCAAACTCGAAGAATTCCAAAATTGAATTCTGAATGTACAGCTCTGACTGGAATTACTCAAGAAATGGTCAATTCTGGAGTCACGTTTGAGGAAGCCTTAAAACTTCATACAGAATGGCTTTCGAAACATTTGAATGGAGAGGAACCTTCTTCATCGAATGTATTAATGGCCACTTGTGGTGATTGGGATTTGAAAACAATGATTCCACATCAAGTCTTTCATGAAAAGAAGTGCATTCCTCTCGTAAAAAGTCACTTGTCACAATGGTGTAATGTAAAAGACGTCTATGGTAGATTCATGCAAAAACAAAAAGTCAATGGAATGCTTACCATGTTAAATGGTTTGAATTTGGAACTTGAAGGAAAACATCACAGTGGCATTGATGATTGTAAAAACATTGCTCGAGTGATTTGTGAGCTAGTTTCGAAAGGATGCTCTTTTGATGTGACAGCTCGTTTGACATGTAAACATGGAGAAAGTTCACGAACGAAAAATAGTCAGGTTCAGTATATTGAGTATGATCCAAAAATTGCTCTAGACAATTTTATTGTGATGAACAACAAGTGAGATGATTTGAGGGACACACAAGTGAGATGATGAACACGTTTCAATCATTGAAGCCTGATGGCCATCACCATGAAAGAATCAGAATCCATTGGACCCAATTTAGATCAACATCTCTCTTTAAAAATGTCACCTGCCACTTAAATATTTCAAATAATTCACTCAGTGATTTTCAAATAGCTATACAACGTTTAGTTCATTGTAAACTTGTCGAATGTATTCGTTGAATCCATCCTCACCGATATTGTGCACACACGGGGTCCAAGGACTCACAATCTTCTTTTTGAAAGTTTCTAATTCTGAAAATGTGTTCTACTAATTGATGCAAAGTGCGAGGATTCTCAGAATACAAACATGTGGCTTTGATTCTATAAGAAGAGACGATTTCTCTTTTCACATTACCAGAAACAAAATTTACTTTTTGGAGAATAGACATTTGGCGTGTTTGAATTTCCTTCTTGGTCCAACTTGCTGTTTCTTTTGTTATTAAATTCGAAAAGAGATTCTATCTTTTCACAGGACCAACGTACTGCCCAAGTTTGCTTTCTGTTAGTTGTCCAATAGAACAAGTCGAATTCGACCAAATCATCTTCAACGAGAAAAGACATTTGGCAGATGTGCATTCGTTGTTGTTGTTGTTTCACTGTTAGTACAAGTCATCACCATGGCATCGATTTCTATGTCAGTCACTTCCTTTTCCCTCCATTGGAATATAATTTTAGAAAAGGGTTTTGCCTTGTCTAGTTTTTAACATTCCCGTCTCAAACTTTCATGGACAATCCGGAATTGTAACATGAGAGTGAATTATGAAATCAACAATCATTCTTTTCTGAAAATGATATAGACATGGCGAACGTCAGAAAAATCTATAATTGATCTCTTGTCAATGAATGTTGTTTCAAGAGAGCTGTTGTTAGTCGAAAGGAGCATTGTGTATTTTGTGGAGATCAAGGTCGAAATGTTCACAACGAATATGTCAGAAGACTCATTCTCGTTCGTTATGTCTGTAGTCTTCTCTCCATTCCATCCACTCCTTCTCTGACACTGCATTCACCTCCAACAGGTAAGCCACTCTGCTTGTGGCATGTGACAGGTGTCTGCTCATCTTCATGCCCGAACTCATTTTAAAGCGCTCAAGCTTAAACATTCTCTCAGCAAAAACTCAAAGAAAAAAAAACAAATTGCTTGCAGAAGTCAGTCCAGAACACTCTTCTCACTGCGAGTACAAGTGATATCCAACAGTTCCTCTTCTGCTGTTGTGGTGAATACACCTTTCATTCACGGCAGTTCAATCATTATCCCTAATCTCTGGATTTGCAGCTTGACCTCGTACAAACAGTTGAGTGTGCTCTCCATCAATCACTGATCCGAAATTTTGATTTCAATATCATAACGACACAAAATTCATCCTCGCAACTAGAACAGTTCATCTCAAGAAGTATACTATTGAATTCAACTGAACTGAATCCGAGCTCTCATCTCCATTCCTCTTTACTGTTTTTTGCTTGTATATAATAATAGTTTCTTCAACGATACTCACGAAAATGAAAGGCTTTCATTCCTCCTCATTGACTAATAATAATCATCATGGCAACACTCCAAAACTCGGCGTTACTGGATCTTCTCAAGATAGTATGAGTTCATGCCAAAACTCTCCTCAACTCTCCTCTCCTAGCCTTTCTCAGAGAAGAAGACAATCCAGTGCTTCAACCAAATCCGTTCATTACGCCACTCCTGATGTTGCTGCCGATAATTCTCCCAACATGGTGATACCTAGTGGTCAACCCAAGAAACTCAGAAAGCAAATCAATACCACTGCCTTTAAACAGAATTACTTTGAATTGGATCTAACCTCCTCGAATGAAGCTAAACTTTTACAGTTTACTCCTGGACAGGAAAAGAAGAAGAAGCCTTCCTCTCGATCGAGAAGCAGTAGCAGTGCCGCCTCCCAAACACGAAGAAAATCTGTAGATGCTGCTCAAGATGGTTCTACCAAGAAGAGAAAGAAGCCATCAAAGAATACTGCTGAACAAGATCAAGAGGAAGAATGTTCTTCTGATCATCATGCTCAACAACATTTGGAAGAGGATGAAGAAGAGTTAGAAGAAGATGGTTTAACTTCTCCAAATTTTGAAACTTTGAGTGCTAACAAGAGACGAAACTCAACTGGTTCCGTTCTCATGATGAGCACTTCCAACGTGGGAGCAGCAGCTGCCAATAATTCCAACTTGGGTTCCTCATCAACCAACCATTTGAACATTCCTTCCACCAGTCATAATAATAATCTCTCTTTGTATCATTCCAAAACACCACAACAACAACTTTCTGCAGATTCCCAAATGATGATCAAACACAAACCCATCTACAACGAATACAGCAAGAAGCTCTACACGGCTCGAGAAGACTCATTTGCCAATATCTTTACCACTTCCTCAACTTCCTTCTCGACTTCCTCAGTCCCAAGTAAGAAGCCTTTATTGCAACAACCATTCGCAGCAACCTCCATCTCGTCCTCCTCCTCGACTGCTGCTGCTGCTTCTGTAGATCCAAGCATGAGTGGAGGAAGTGTTCTCTCGTCCCTTCTTCCCAACCCTTCCTCTGTGGGCGTTGTTCAATCAGGAAAGATTGAAAAGTTAATGAATGAACCCATGCCTTTGATCTATTATTTGAATGCTATCAGTGCAAAGAAGGAAGAATTGCAACAGCAACAACAAAACCATTCTACAACTATTCCTAATAATAAGACTTCCAACTTGATGTACGATCCATTCAGCTCCCAAACGAATACTGGTCAATCTCACTCATCATTCCTGAATCAACAACAACATTCTGTATCCTCACAGAATGAAAGCATCATGATGATGAACACATCCATGCCTCAACAAGACTCGATGGACCTTCATGGAATGCCTTTTGGTTTGATGATGGATGCCGACAAGATGAATGAATTGCAACACTTGTTGAATGAGTTGGATCCTCACTCCGCAGGTGGATCATCCTCAGCCATTATGGCCACTCATTCCTCAGGAACTATGGATCCATCTTCCTTCCAGCAATTATGTTTCAGTATTTCTCAAAGTGCCAAGAATCCAAACCTTAATGTGAATAACAATAACGCAACCAACAACACAACAAACTCGGCATTTTTTGGCCATGAAATGAATGCTTGGGACGATGATTTGTTGAACAATATTCAACAACAACAACAACAAGTGCAACAACCTACCATTTCATATTCGACTTCAACTGCTCCAAGTTTTTTGGATGAAGACTTCCAGCAACTTGGAATGAACAACAACAACAACAACAATTTTGATGCATTGTTCAATCTGGACAATTTGTATAGAGCCATCAGCTCGTCATCCAACACAACAAGCGCTGCTGGTAGTGAAGCTTCCTCTTACAACCAATTTGATTTGTCAGAGCAACTCCAAGCCAAATCTAGCATGTTTTTCTTTGAGTGAATTGGATTCAACTCAATTTAAAAATTCAATAAAACAAAACCAATCTTGACAACATGGGTTGAGTAGCCAACAACAAGTGTCAATAAACAAATTTTTCAAGCAAGCTTATTTGAATATGATTGTGCTTAGACAAAATCAAGAGCAATCGATTTATAGCAGCAAAACCTTGGTCAATTTTCAAATCGGAATCGATCTTTTTTTACAAATGATGCACAAGACAATGATTAATGAACAAAACTATTGTTTATTTGACAAAATTAAAGCTCAGTATATTTGATGGTAACTTCCTTGGTTGCGCTGTCTTCCTTCTCTCTCAACATTTTAACTTTAACCTTCTCACCATCATTCCACTCGCTTGGAGCAACAAAGATTGCTCTCGTGGCACCAATCTTGTCGGCATACTCAAATGATGCTCCAACCTTCTTTGGATTCTTCAAATAAATGTCTGCAGTTCTTCCCTTTTGTCTCAAGTAGGTGACAATCTTGGCAGCGATTGGTCTGAAGGAAGTGTCGAAAGGAATGACAAAATCATCGACCTTTTGAGAAGAAATATAAGATGGAATCAATTTAAGCTCACGCAAAATTTCAAGAATGACACAGTCACCAAAGCCAAATCCACAAGCTGGAATTTGCTCTTTGGATCCATAAGTGCCCAAAATCTTGTCATATCTACCTCCTCCACAAATGGCTCGAGAAAGTCCCTCAATTGTAGCAAAAGCTTCAAACACAACACCAGTATAATACGAAAGACCACGCACAATACTTGGGTCAAACTCAATCCAGTCCTCAATATCATAACCATTCTTTCCGATTAATGTGAAAATTTCTTCAATTTCTTTGAACACTGGTCCATTCTTGAACTCTTCATTGGTCAACATTTCCTTGAAAGCAGTTAAAGCTTTTGATCCAGAGTAATCTTCATTTGGATTCAATTTCTTAAAGTTCATTAATTTGATCAACTTGAGAGCCACTTCTTCGGAAATTTCTGGCACCTTTTCGACGAGAATCTTCTTTACATCTTCAGCCTCCATCTTATCCATCTTGTCGACAATGATGCAAGTTTCCTTGAATTTGTCTTCACTCAATTGAAGTCCGAATTCAACCTTGAGTAAATCTTCAATAATTTTACGAGAGCTGAATCGTAGAGTAACTTTTTCACTGGTAAGTCCCAACAGTTTAAACAAGTGGATAATAGCAGAAAACAATTCACATTCTCCGGTCACTTCAGGAACACCCCAGATATCGCAATTCCATTGATAGTGTTCTCTCTTTCTTCCACGGGTTGTTGTCTCATATCTCCAACATTGCGGAATGCTGTACCACTTGAGAGGCAAAGTCAAAATCTTTCTATTCTTCAAAATGAGTCTGGCCAATGATGGAGTCATTTCGGGACGTAAAGCCACGTTCAAATCACTCTTTTCTTTAAAGTTGTACATTTGTTGAACAATTTCTTCACCTCCCTTTCTCTTGTAGAGATCCTCCATTTCGAGTATTGGAGCATCATAGGGTTCAAAGCCAAAGAGCTTACTTGTTTCGTGGAATTTAGAGAAGAGCCATTCCCTTTCTCTCATCTCATTCGGAAGGAAATCGCGCGTTCCAGCAATAGGTTCCACATCAATGGTGTTGCCTCCCTTGAATTTGGATTGTTGCTTACGTTTACCCGCTTCATTGCTCTTATCGGAAGCGTTGTTGTTGTTGGGTGATGATGCGTTGATGTTGTTATTGCTTGATTCGGACATTTTTTGAATTTTTTTTGTTGAATTTTTTGTTTTGAAATCCATTCAGCTTTTTATTTTGCAGTGATCCATCATCAATTTCAAACAACGACAAGGAGATTGAACCATGCATGTGAATGGATGATGAATATTAATAATTTTCTTTCAAATTCAAAAGACTGCGCTTTGGTGAATTGCAAAAACTGAAACACAACCCGCCAATACAATACAAAAAAAATATTTGAATTATTGGCAGTGGCGGTGGATGAAATCATCATCATGCTAGTGGAGGAATATTGGGCAGTCGGGTTATGTACTGCGTTTGTTGTTTCATTAATGTCCCTGGTACTCATCACTGTAGCGGTGGTGAAAATAAATAGAAGAAGAAAACGTAACTTGACGATTGCTGCTACCTCTCAAATGAACTAAAGCCGGTTGTAGCAGAATCCGAATGTTAATGACTTGCTGTGTGGCTAAGCATTGTATATTACTAAAAAGCATTAAGGATTCACGAGCTTGAACTGGCAATTCTAACGTAGTTGTTTAGAATCATGGTCATCCATTAAAATTTGAACAACTAATTACTGTTTCAAGGCTTTTTATGTTTTACTGACCAAAAAAATACTGCGAGAGCGAATCAGCGTTGAATTGAAACATCGACTCACAGTTCGCTCGTGACTCTCAAACAACTACTGTCGGTTCTAAATTCGCGAATTTTCTTCACGGATAACATCATCCTCTCAACAACATAACCATCATTGCAATACAATGGCCGAAGAAGGTAGAATTCAACAAGTGTGGACCTTCATTCTCCTCATTTGTTCCTGTGTCATCTTTTCATCCATTGCCATCTTGTTCGGAATTTTGACTGCAGCCTATTATGACCCCAATGAAATGCTCAATACCATGTCGTGTGTGGTCATTGAGCCTCATCATGAATGTTCCATCACTCCAGAATGTGCCGGAGGAAAGGTGGAATGTTGTACCGCATTGGTCTCTGTAAAACCAGGAATTTTGTTTGCCAATGTTTCCTCGTTTCAACCTCTCCGAACGACTTTGGCCTTCACGGAAGAGAGTACCTATTACAATTATAAAGCAAATGCTACTGTCACTTGTTACGTGAGTGATAGACCTGCGGATTCATTGGCTCGATACAACAAGTATGATGGAGTCAAGATGTCATTTAAAACAACGGCTATTGTGACCGGTTCGATTGCTATATTGTGTACGGCTGGTGTATTACTGGCTCCATTCTTTTCGAGAGCTATGAAACAAGTTCATTGAGCTCAATGTCCAATGAAACCAATTTTGAAAACATTAAGTACATTTTCTAATTAGCAGCCCTACACACAATATTGTTGGATTTATTTTGATCAAAAAGTTATTGACCTACCCATCGTCAACGTTTTTTCATTATTCCATTTTGATTCTGCAATAGTGCATGGACAAGGAATTGTGGACTGAAAATGATTGTAGTAAAGTCTCACACAAATGTGTACCTCAATAATAACATTAAAACCAATCCACACTTGTTTTTGCATTTGTTTAATATGTCGTTCGGTTTGAACAACCGTTTTCGTTTAAGAGCTTATCTGCTTAACATGGAACAGACGAACCAAATTTCTCTTAATGATTAGAGCGAGAGCATGAGCCAGTCATCCACTCACGCAACAAAAATTACGAAAGAAGGCAACATCCACTTTCAGTGTTGACTTCACAAGAATTCAATCTATCTCATTTGTGCAAGGATAGAGAACCCTTGTGACCAGCAAGAATGCATGATCGCTCTGAGTCTTTCAAGGTAAGTATGAGGAAGCAAGATCTGTTGTTGAAAGGTCGTGCATTGAAGTGGCGACTGCGTGTTTTCGAGAGAGAAGATTATGGTTGATGTTATGCATGAAGTTGACGGTGAATCAAAAGATTTTGAAGACAATGAGGCGACGAGATTTGATAAGGTACCTTATTATTAGTTAAGAACAAATTACCTTCTTGTGTTTCTTTAAAGCCTTTAGCCTAGGTTGTCTTTGAGTCCTTTTCGTCTTTGGATTCATTTTGTTGTTCAAAAGATCTT